CTCCTGCCTTAAGGGGTCCCAGGTAGCCTTATCTGTCCTTGTCTTTAAATTCTCCATGAGATTCAATAGCCTGTTAAGTGAATAACTTCATTCCTATTCATATTTTGGGAGAAATGTTATAGAACACCACCTTTGTCAATTCTTCATAAAATACAAAATTTCAGAAGTTACGGCAGTTTGTTGGAAGTGGAGCTATTAAATCAGTGACTAATGTTACAGTGTGACATTACCTATCCAGCATTTTTCATTGTTCTTCATTGCCAAAATACTATTGAAAAGCTGTTGTTTATAGCTTCAGCAATGTTTGAATTCTAAGAGAAAATATTATTTTATTGTAATTGTATATCACACAAGTAGACATGTATAATTTCCTTAAATAAGTTTTTCCCCCAAATAATTTTCTTCTCTGTAATTAAAATGTAAGTGTTTTGATCCTTAGTTTATTAAAAGTTGTGGGTGTTTATAAGGAATAGGAGTTCTCTATTTTCTTGGTGATATGAATACAGAAATTTATATGGGAGGTGGAAGTACTAATTTATGAAATGGAAAGTAAAGCTAAGTGAGGTTGAATTATCTACCCTTGAAGTAGTAAACAAAGCCTTTTGGCTTCCTTCCCCTTTTCTACACTGCTTATTTTACAGGTTGTAGAGTGGCTAGTTCTATGGGGATTGTTCTTTTTTGATTTTGAAAATGACTCTCAATCAAATTAGTACCATCATTTATGCTTTGGTGGTAATTGTCTGGCTTCTGTTGTAAATGTTAGCAAATTCTTGATGTTTTTCACTTTTGTGGTTTCTTTTGACACGGTAGCTTCATAAACTGTGGTATTTATATTCAATTCTACTTAATAGAGTTCTGTCTTCTTGAGGCAGTGCAGGAGAGTGAGGACTTGTTACTCAGTGATAAACTCTATAATGGTGTAATAATTTAACCCTAGAAAGCACATAAAAGAAAATTGTCTCCCTTAGGACATCCTTAAACTGCAGTCTGTTGAGAAAGGTATTTATCCCAAAACTTGCTTAAAGCTTTGTGGCTTCTGCAATTATTCGTGTATTATGATTGCACTCTTTCCCTTCAGGATAAACCCTTTTTGTAAGTTGGCCTTTATGATATCTCTTAACAATATAAGCTCTGCATTCCTCTTATTTGCTTTGAGATAACTGGCACTTTTTTGCTATTTAAGGAGGAAGAAGACAGTTCTCATTTTGGGTGGACAGATGATCAGTCCAAGCTAGGTTGTAAATGATTAGGAATTGATAGAATCTGAGTTAAATCCTATTTTAGTATTTTGGCTTTTGAGTTTCCTTTCCACAGCGAAGACTTTGCAAAGGCAGTTCTCCAAGAAAGCAGGGAAGCTAAGGGCTGTGGATACAGGGATATAAATCTTTTTATCCAGCATACAGTACATGGAGAGATGGGGAGGGTGGACACATGTGTCTTTTATATCAAACCCAGGAGCAAAAATTGTATGTCCTCTAACTTCAGATTCCAAAATATTTAGGTATCCTGTTTGTTAGGCTGTTCCTTCTGACTTAGTACTTTTTTAGTACAAAGAGTGCTTTAAAAATTTTTTTTTTTATTTATTAATTTGAGAATAATGGTGGTGGGGTGGGGCGGAGAGACAGAGACAGACAGACATCAATTTGTTGTTCCACTTATTTATGCATTCATTGGTGGCTTATTGTATGCGCCCTGATGGGGGATTGAGCCCACAACCTTGGCATATCAGGATCACGCTCTAACCAACTGAGCTACCCAGCTAGGGCCCAAAGAGTACTTTTAAAATATTTTTTATTTTTAGTATGGTATTTATAGCTAGAACTGAGTTTTATTTCCAAGATAGCATGAGGGGTTGTCTAACCCACAGCCCGCATGCAGCCCAAAACAAAATCGTAAATTAAAATATCATGAGATTTTTTTATGATTACATGTCAGTGGATTTAATGTGTGGCCCAAGACAACTCTTCTTCCAGTGTGGCTCAGAGATGCCAAAAGTTTGGACACCCCTGCATAGACCAATATTCTGGTTCATTTGGATGTAAACGTTGGGATTTTTAGATGAAAAGGATTTTGTGAGAAAGATAACATTTAGCACAGTTATACAGAGTGAGGACTAAAACATTTTAAGGTACTGTTTTGCTAAAAGGAAAGCTGTGCAAGAGGAAATGTTTTAAAAGTCTTTTGGCAGTTTGCTTTACTCCATGAGCAAGTTGTAGGGGTGTGTAGAGGAAGCCTGTTCAAGAGCTAAAATCAGAAGTGTGTTTGGGTGCAGAGGGCTTTGGTTATGGTTGCAGAACCCTAAGCTGAGGGAGTGGGTACTAGAGTCCTGAAAGGGTGTGTGCCCAAGTACCTAAAGAAGGGTGGCTGCTGTAGATCTGTAGGATCTGGGAAACCGCTTGCATCCATTGGTTCTTCTTATGCTTTTTATTCTTCAGATCACTTTAAGAAAGGCTTTTGTTGTTTGACAACAACAACAATGAATCTCCACTAGGGACAGTGAATAGGTATCATTTTATAGGTAGGTAATGGGAACCTCTGAAAATTTGGAAGCTAAATGGCATAACTACATCAGTGTTTTAGGAAGATGATCTTTAGGCAGATTTAGGCAGCAGAATGGAGGGTTGGAGGGCAGGGAGGATTGAAAACAGGAAGATTAGATAGTAAGTTAGCACAGTGGACCCTAGTTTCACCTTTTATTGTCATGGAATTTAGAAGACCACGACCAGCTTTGTAGCCACAGAGTGATGGTTACATAATCAAATGAGATGTCACAGAAATGTATTTTGTATATTGTAAATACAAAGTTTGTTGTGGCGGTGGTGGTATCATTCTGTTCCTTTCATAGGGTTTTCTCTTCTCCCTTTTATTTGAGGCTGGTCTAGAAGCTGGACTACCTGGGTGCTACTTTGGGCTCTAAGACTATGTAACCTTGGGAGAATCACTTCTTGGTTTTTTTCATCAGAAAAAAGAGGTATAATTCTTTGAAATTATTTCACACTTACAGCTTCTAAGCAAAATGATTATTTTGATTCCAGTGGTGAATGGCAGTCTGTGTAAATCCCACGGGCATCCTTTTATCTGTGTGTTGGTAGCTTTGAGGAGGGAGTGAGACAGGATACGAGTTAAAAGAAGAGAGTCCACTCTTATGATATTTAAATATTTATTTAAGTTTAAAAATAATTTTCATGGCACCAATGATTTTATGCTAACTACGTACTGAATATGTAGAAAAAAGTACATTGCTTTGAAGGAAAATGTAACTTATCTTTTTTGGCACATGAAAGGTTAACAACTATTTTTTTAATGAAACTAAGAAATTCACATTTGCAGGTAGTTTACCCTCTACTGCTTAACGATGCAGTGCACTATTCTTTAATAAGAGTTTTATTTCTTCTTGATAGATGAAGCTATGGAAACCATTGCTTTTTCAATGAGATCAAATTAATTGAGAGAAAATGGGAGACATAGTGGAACACAGTAAAACCAGGTTAAAAACTTGAACGATTTTTAATGATGGGGAGATACCAAAAAAGACTAGTCACTAACAAAGGAGGTTCAAGCACGATTTGAAAAGCAAATTGAAGGAAACTTTTATCTATATTTTCTGGGATAAGCCCTGGAAAAAAGATAACCTGAAAGTTTCTATTTAGAGAGAAAAATCTAGCTGTTGGAATTGGTGTGGACTATTGTACTGTTAGAACTCTAGACACAAGTAATGTACCCAGAAATGGGATACTGCATCTTTTTTTAATGTGAATATGAATGGTCAGAGTCAAGGCTATTACTCACTGCATAGAAACACCGTATTCTACAGACTGAGGTAGGAACACTACACTAAAAGGTAATCTGCTATGTTGCATAAGACAGTAGATATCCAGGTTAAAACCAGCCCTCTATCTCCTGACAGCCTTTTCATTTCCGAGTCTATTTTCTTCACTTTAGTTCTGTCCTAAATAAAGCTTTTCCTGTGTAGATGGCAAGTGGCAGTGGCTAGTTGATTCTAAGTGATCCCTATTCTTTACTAGGATCTCCCTCAGTTTGTCTTGTCACTTGGTAAATAGATGTTTGTGATTCTGCCCAAATTGCTGGTATGGAAATGATGGGACAAGCCCTCTTCCACTCTTAGATTCTGGCCATGTTTTAGCATTCAAGTACTTGGTCTTGCATATCTTGGCATCAGACATCTCTTTGCTGGTTGGTTGTTCGAGCACCCTGGATCTTTAACACATGTCAGGAATTGGAGCAGAGTTGACCTTTCTGCTAACATGGTAAGGAGCAGTTTTATTGTATAAATCAGGGTTGGCAAATTATGGCCTGTGGACCAGATCAGCTCACCATTTCTCTTTATAAATAGAAAGGTTTATTGGAATACAGGCTTGTTCCTTCACTTATGTATTACCTTTGGCTGTTTTTGTGCTACAGTGGCAGAGTTGAATAGTTGCCATAGAATAATATGGCCCACAAAACCAAAATTAAAAACAAAATTACTTCCTGGCACTTTACAGAAGTTTGCCAATCCCTGGTGTAGATGAAGGGGCATTTAAAGTTATGTACCCCTCCACCCACCCACCCCAAAAGAAAAACCCCATTTTATTCCAAGGCTGTTACATTGTTTGCATGGACATGGTTCTGCCATCTCAGGGGACAAACTAGGAGCAAGCAAATCCAAGTGACTCACTCTTCTCATTTGGGGTTGCCCAACATCATAAGGTGTCAGCAGCTGCTCCATGTTGTGTAAGGTCCTGGGAATTGTGCACTGACCATCCTTAAAATAAGTCCTCAGGCCCCACATGACTTAGAAATCGCTCCCTGAGAGGAAAACAAGATCTCATGTGCTAGTGTTTATGACAGATGCCGAGCTTGGGCCTCGGACCCCACATTCACCCTTTCACGCTGCGCTTCTGCATGCTTCCATGGCTTCCCTCAGCAAGGATGGCAAGTGCTTTTTTCCTACAACTTTTATATTCCTGATGCACGGATGACCCTAGGGGGCAGTATTTCTACACCTAAGTGTTCTTTGCCACGTTCACCTTCTTTCTTGGTAGGCATCTGTTAGAACTCCTATTTAAAGAGATTCTTTTCCTGGTCCCTTCCAAGGCTGTTTGTTGATCTTGGAATTCTATTTTCTGAAGCTTTTCATTCTCAGGATCAGTTTCTTTCTTGCATCGTTTAGTTCATCAGGCTCTATTTTCTTAATCCATAAAGTAAAAACAAAACATGAATTGATAAGAAAATAACATTTTGTTGTTAAAATATAAATTGAAAAAAAATTTTTTTTTTTGCCAGGGGTGGGGGTGTATAAAATAAGCACTGCTCTCTGAATCTCAGCAGTCTCTCAGGTACCTTAGCTCTGGTTTCTGTTAACTACATTTTGTCCAACATTTCTGACAGTCCTATCTCTGGTACCACTGAATTCATCTAACGCTTCTGGAGCACTCTAAAAGCTTGAGGTTCTTCAGAAAAAAAATCACAGAAGTTAAAGTTTATCATACAAAATTCACGGTGATGCCCACTAGGATCTAGTCTAAGGGGACAGACTTACCCCACCCCTGCTGCTGTTGCTTCTGTAGCGGTGGTCCCTTCAGATGCCCACTGTGCTCAGATTTGGGGGGGGGCAGGAAACAAAAGGAAAAGAAAATCCAGCTCAGACCATCATAAGAAGCAAGTTTCCATTTAATCATTCTACAGGGATGTTTACTTTTTAAAAAGCTGTATCTGGCAAGAAAACAGTCCCCTGAGGCTGCTGTGATGAGTCTACTGGAACCCAGTAGGACAGCTCCTGCAGAATACAGAAGACAACAGCTCTCTAGTCTTCAACTAGTGTCCCATCTGCTAGGTGACACTACTGTGATCATTGGTAATAGTAAAATAAATTATTTTTATTTGATACTTTCAAAATAATACACATCTATGAAAAATCAAAATTCACAACCAAATGTTATCCTGCAAATTGGGAGGATGAGAAACAGAGTCACCGAGCCTTTCTTGAGAGAACCTCGAAGGAAATTAGCTTTCCCAGTTTGTGTAGACAGGGCATGAGCCTATCCCTTTCATCTTCTGGGAAACAACCCTCCTAGGCTGTGGACTTTGAGTCATGAGAGGAGGACTTGGTACATGTGCCGATGGTTCCGCGATGGGTCCCATTGCTGGGAATGGGTAGCCGGGCTCCTTGGTCCACCTGGCTAGTTATTGGGAGGAGTCATGCCTTCTCAGGTGTCAATGAGTAGGCTCACCACTGAGCGGATTTTGCAGGCAAACCATCGCCTGAGGGGACAAAAGTATTGATAGTGGAATTGTTCAAACTCTGGGGTCTGTCGGATATCGCGGAAAAAGGCAATGTCAAGGTCAGATTCGGTAAGGATGATCAGGAGGAGGAGCAAAACAAAGAGGAGTCCCATGGTCACAAGGAGCAAACGGAGGACACTTAAAACAAACTTATTCACCTGTTCCTCCTCTGGCCTGCCGTGCCCCTGACACAGGGCCCTCAGCTCTCCCCCAAGGGCCTCCACATCGGCAGCAGTTGGGGTGCTGGCCTCAGACTCCTTCTCCTCCTCGATGCTACAGGTGGCCCCATTGATCTGCCGGGAAAGCAGCATCAGCTCCAGGCTGTGCTCAGCCACGGGAGTGGGGAGCACACTGTCTGCAGGGCTGTAGGCCTCGTCTGCAATCACAGCGACTCGCTCATTGCTGTCTGCCCGGCTGCTTCTCACGTGAGGCAGGAACGTGTCCCCATGAGAGGAGGAACGCACTGGGGTGGAATGGGCACTGTCCCGAAGGGACTCTAGGCCTGGAAAAGAAAAAGGAACATGAGTAGGCTTTCTGTCCCAGTGCACACATTTTTGTCTTTTTGCTTCTGGTTTTGGCGATGTTTGTTAAAGACTGCCATTCCTGCCTCACTGATTTTAGCCTCAATTGGAAAGAGAATCTGAATCACATACTATCCCTGATTGAGAGCTGGGGCCATGGTTCAGGGAGCTCAGATTTGCCTCGTGGGCTGAGGGCCATAGAAGCAGGAATGGGGAGGATAAGGCTGTGTTTTGCCTAACTGGGCCTCATCTAATACTGATTCTGGAGATGAGTGTCCTTTTAACAACCTAGCAACAGCTCCTTAAGCTCATGTGGTCATCTTTTGGATTTCTGCAATTGCTGTTGGTCTCGTCAGCCTCCCAGTTGTAGCCTGACCTTGTCCTTGTCCTGACCTTGTGGGATGAGAAAACTATCTGTTCTTCCTAAGTGCTCTCTGATAGAGAAGGGGAGCAGCCCTTGGCAAGATCCCTCTCTTTTCACCTTAGAATGATCTGGGCCCAGGATAGGCTGACAGTTTCCCTATTTTAGACCCTCAAGAGTGCAGAGTGGACTTTGAGATCTTCTTGGGTGAGGGGGAAATTCTCTTACATTTTTTAGAAGGGGGGTCTTGTGGCCCCTAAAACTACCCATTATCTCTTTATTTTCCCAGATGGGACACTTCTGTTTCCAGGGCTCAAGCTCTGGCAGGGAAAACAGGAGCTGGTTACTCCTGCAGTGCAACAGCAGCCACTCAGGCTGGAGGATGTGGGCTCAGAAGCAAAAAGTGGCTCACATCACAGTGCCTCGAGGAAATGGCTTCTTGTTTCAGGTTCAACACCTGCATTTTCCTTTCCTAGCCATCTTGGTGGTACCAGAGTGGTTCTCCCTGCCTTTGTGGCCTACGACAAGAGAAGCCAGTCCCCATCTGTTGCTCTGAAATTGACCCTGACTGCCCCAAAATGAAACAGATGCCCAGACAGGTAAAACCTTGGCCTTCCCAGGGCTAATTAGGGAGTTTGCAGGTGCAGGGCAAAAAAGCCCAGTCTCTTTAAAGGCACTACTGGCCTTTCAGAATTGTGTTCCATCTTTCCTTGGCTCCCCTGTGGTATAGCCATTGGCCCCCAGGCAGCTTTCCTGCCCAGCCTGCCAGAGCGCATCTCAACACATGCACTGTTAAGGATTCTCCAGAGAAAACTTTCAGCCAAGATGGAGGTGTAGGTAGATACACTTTGCCTCCTTGCACAACCAAAAGAAGGACAATGACAAATTTAAAAACAATATAACCAGAACTGCCAGAAAATCGAACTGTATGGAAGTCTGACTACCAAGGAGCTAAAGAAGAAACATCCATCCATACCGGTAGGAGGGGCGGAGACAGGCAGCTGGGGTGGAGAGGACGTGCAGTAAGGTGGTGGTTGGTAGACCTGGTGGTCCCACATTTGCATGTGGATAAACTGCAATGAACAGCTGGGGAGTGAGACAGACTGCACAATCTAGCATTCCAGTGTGGGAAAAGAAAACCTCTGGAGGTAAAAACATGTGGGGGTTGTGGTGGCAGAAGAAACTCCCAGTCTCACAGAAGACTCCACTGGAGAGACCCACAGGGTCCTAGAATGTACACAAACTGACCCACTCAGTAATCAGCACTAGAAGGGCCCAATTTGCTTGTGGGTAGCAGGGGGAAGTGACTGAAAGCCAGCGGAGAGCCGAGCAAGCAGCATTGTTCGCTCTCGGACACCTCCCCACATACAGTGTCACAACACAGTGGCCTGGGTTGCGCCACCCTGGCAAATACCTAAGTATCTGCCCCTCCCAACATAACAGGCATGCTGAGAAAAATAAATATGGCCCAAATGAAAGAACAGATCAAAGCTCCAAAAATAGAACTAAGCAATGAACAGATAGCCAACCTATCAGATGCACAGTTCAACACACTGGTAATCTGGATGCTCCCGGAATTGGTTGAGTATGGTTGCAAAATGGAGAAAAAAATGAAGGCTATGCAAAGTGAAATAAATAAAAATATACAGGGAAGCAACAGAAAAGGGAAGGAAACTGGGACTCAAATCAACGATTTGAGCAGAAGGAAGAGATAAACATTCAAACAGAATGAAGAAACAAGAATTTAAAAAAATGAGGAGAGGCTCAGGAACCTCTGGGACAACTTTAAATGTTCCAACATCTCAATCATACGGATGCCAGAAGGAGAAGAGAAAGAGCAAGAAATTGAAAACTTATTTGAAAAAAATAATGAAGGAGAACCTCCCCAGTCTAGCCAAGGAAATAGACTTCCAGGAGATCCAGGAAGCTCAAAGAGTCCCAAATAAGTTGGACCAAGGGAGGAACACACCAAGACACATCATAATTACATTACCCAAGATTAAAGATTGAGAGAATCTTAAAAGCAGCAAAAGAAAAGGAGATAGTTATCTACAAAGGAATTCCCCTAAGACTATCAGCTGATTTCTCAAAAGAAACTTTGCAGGCAAGAAGAGGCTGGAAAGAAGTATTCAAAGTCATGAAAGGCAAGGACCTCTATCCAAGATGACTCTATCCAGCAAAGCTACCATTTAGAATGGAAGGGCAGGTAAAGTGCTTCCCAGATAAGGTCAAGGTAAAGGAGTTCATCATCACCAAGTCCTTATTACATGAAATGTTAAAGGGACTTAGAAAAAGAAGGTCAAAAACTATGAACAGTAAAATGACAACAACCTCAAAACTATCAACAGCTGAACCTAAAAATACAAAAACAAAAACAAAGACAAACTATGCAAACAACTAGAACAGGAACAGAATCATAGAAATGGAGATCAGAAGGGATGGGGAGGGGGAAGAATGGGGGAAAAGATACAGGGAATAAGCAGCATAAATAGTAGGTACAAAATAGGCAGGGGGAGGTTAAGAATATTATAGGAAATGGAGAAGCCAAAGACATTAACTAAGGCGAGGGGTGCTGGTGGGAGGGGCGGTGCAGGGTGGAGGGGAATAAAAGGGAGGAAAAAATGTGACAACTGTAATAGCACAATCAATAAAATATATATTAAAAAGAAAAGATTCTCCAGAGGAATGAATCCTGGAATATGGGTTATGAACAAGATGCAGGGGCGATGACAGCCCCCAGTGTCTCACCATTAGTATATTTCTGACTCTCTCAACTTCTGCTTTCAGAAGCTCCTTTCAGGGCATCCAGTGTGTCCTTGCTGTATTTTGTTTGTCTCTATGCTAAAAATCTTAAATTTGTATAATGTTTTAATTTTTTTAAAGCACTTTCATTTTATCTTTCAACAACTCCATGAAGTAATGAGGGTGAAAGGCTGCAGAACTCTCCTGAAGTCGTGTGGTTGGTTGTTAATGGCAAAGGCAAGGAGAGAATCCGAGCATCTTTTTATTTCGTGGTGCTCATGATCATGTAGTTGGATTTTCTGGGGAGTGGAACAGTGGGCCAGGATGCATTAAGTCAACAGCCTGCACATTTGTTAGATTTAGGTCCTAATTGCCCAAGAAACTCCTGTGCAATAATGTGCTGTGCAGTAATGTGACATTAAGAGCCTGTCCACTCTTCATGCTCCTTTGATCTGTTTTCCCCAGTATTCTTCCCTTATTCCCCCGTGTGCATGTGCAGCATGAGGAATATGTCCCCTGGGGTATGTAATGGGTCCCTGATAAAGCCGAAACCTTCAGGCCCTAATCACACATGGTGTTGGATCAGCTCCTTTCCCAACTACTCTTCTGGTCCCCATTTCCTCTGGAACCTCAGCCCTCCCTTGCACAGGGCATCTCACAACCTTTCAAGGGGCTGTCCCCTCACAAAGACAGCTCTGACTGCCAGATATTTCAGTCTACAACCAGAGACCACTTAAATGCAAGCTTAGCTTGGCCTACAGTTTAGCCCTTAGCTGGGGAAGGAGAGGTAAAGGCCGTGACATCAGAGAGAACAAATCAGAGGGACACCAGAAGCCACATTAGACTGAATTGTGGGTGCTTTCAGTAAACAAGATAATGGATATGTATGCATTTCTAGTAGTGTCTGACAAGCAAAATTACTCTGTAAATGTTAGTCTTCTGTTCCCTCCACAGTTAGTCCTGTACAGAACTTTAGGTTTCACTGTGAGCCATGACCTGTCTCACCCCTTCATCAAACCTGTCATTCTGGGAGGATAGGGTGGGTGCCATGGGTGGGATCTGGGTGAGTGACACAGCAAAACAGTGTCTTTTTTACCTGGGAGGTGCTCCAGCTGACTGCCTTGCCCAGAGGTGGGGGGCACAGTGGTCAGGAGCCTACCCTGGAGCCGGGGCCCCATCCTCAGGATGCGCACACTCAGGGGTCGAAGGCAGTGATTAGTCAACCGGAGCTGAACGCGGACTCTGGTGTGAATCTTAATCAGACTCTTCCCCATGGTAGCCCAGGAAAGCAGATACTTCTTCGGTGGAAACCAGCTGATCTCTTCATGGAAACCAGCCAGGCAGGGAGATACAGAGGAAAAGGATGGAAAACCAGCTAGGGACAGGATTTCTGATTTGATGCTATGGCAGTGCCTTCCCAGTGCCTCCTGTTGCTGGAGAGAATGGCAGCTCCATGAGCCTCAGAGCGAGCTGGACTGTTCCACTCCCCAGAAAATCCAACTACATGATCATGAGCACCACGAAATAAACAGCTGCAGGGAAGGAGCAGCTCTGAGAGGCCCATGTTATCAGGGGACTGGATTCAGTCAGAAGCACTTAGAGCCATAAAAAGTAATGCTTCCCCAGCCTGCAGCTGTTTCCCTGAGGCCCGTATAAGGCCCTAGACCTCTCAGAAGGTGAGAGACAGAGAGGGAAGGGAACAATCCCTGAGGGTAGGGGGAATCAGGGCTGTCCCAGGAAATCCAGGGTGTGAAGCTACAAAGACTGGGCTTTGGACTGAGCAGTCCTGAAGTGTGAGGAAGTGGCTCTGGGGCTGGAAATGGACTGTCTCATCTTCACTGGGATGAACCTGGTGGCTTCAGAATCAGGATGGATGGAAGAGGGGACACAAAGTTATGTTTCCTCAAAAAAGGAGGAGAAAATCACTCCACTTTCCTGAGATGAACACCCCAAAAGAAGAGGGACAGTGAAAGCCACACTCAGTCCTACTGCTCAGTCTACTGGAGGATAAACCAGGCGGTTGTCTAATGATGGTCAGACCTCAATAATTACATACCTTGCATAGTGATTATCCTTGGTAGTTTATAAGGCACCCTTCCACATTCACGCCCCGCTCTACAATGGGAGCAGCAGGCTTAGAGAGGTTAATCAACCTGCCCCAGAAAATACGTGGCAGAGCTCTCATTTAAACCTCACCTTGGACTGCCTGCCCAGGGGCCTTTGCACTGTGCTTGCTGCCTGCCCAGTGTGTGTTTTAATCTCTTTAAAGTACTGCATACCTCAGCCTCCTTGCCACCCATGTCAAAGAAAATGTCCCTTTTTTGCAAGTGGAGCAACAAAGATACTCAATTAAGGCACTTGATGGTGGTTGCCCAGTGAGAGCTCTCAAGCCCTAGAAAACCACATGCAGGTGATGCAGAGACAGTGACACATAAAATCCTAAACACAAATCAGAGATCCTCCCACAGAGCAGATCCTTCATAACCTGAGCAGTTCTTCATTTTCATTAACAAGCGGCATTTGCTCAGAAAGGACAAAGGGCCTTTCCTCCCCAGTCTCCAAGACAGATACTGGGTTGAAATAATCCTGCTGCTGTTTCCTCCTGCTTAAGATCTTCTGAGGTCCTGTGAACCATCATCATCATCGGAAATGAAAACAATTTTGCACCTGTATCCAGCCTTCATGACAAGCTGAATCAGTGACAACAGCAGGTGGACACTATCCCCAGTCTCCTTCAGTATTAAGTATTAACAGTATTAAGTACCCAGAGACTGGAGAGGTCTCAGTCTCAGGCTTCTGGGGTATCTCCACTCTTGCCACCTCCCTCTACTGCAAAGGGAGAGAAGGATTGAGAGAGATGGACACATTGAGTTTCCTAAGACAACATTAAAGAATTGGATAGCAAGAGGGCAGATTTCTACAACTGAAGTGAAGGTGGTAGCAGTTATTGGAATGCTTCAGAACCAAGAGTTTATTTCTTGGTTAACTGCCTTGGCCACCGTAGTCACTTTAGCTGTGGAGATTGGTCAGATTTGGACAACTAGTGAAAAGCCTCCTGATGAGAAGCAATTTGAGAACTGCATGGAACCTGGTAGATCCCACATATACTGTTTCCCAAATGTAGTACCCCAAGTACTCTCAGATCCACCACCCCCTCCTGGACTGCAGCTCAGCAGGGCTGAAGGGGGTTCCCCATCACCTGACACCCAGCTGGCATTCCTGTCCACTGGGTGAAGCCTTCTCTCTTCCACTGGAGAAACCTGTTGCCATCTCTAATGCAAATTCACCTCTTCTCAAGGTCTCTGAGTGGAAATGGTCTAAGTCACAACTCGGAGAAACCTGCGGTCATCTCCAGAGCTCATGCTTACCTTCCATGATGGAGATGTGAACAGCTCTTCTCCGGGTCCTGGGGACGCTGCTCAGCCTTGGGCCATGGGTTATGGAGGGACAGCTGCGGCTGGGAACCATCCCAGCTCTGAGGTTAAAGAAAAAGAACACTTAGCTCAGTGCACAGACAGCTGTGGTCAGGACTCAGGGTTGAGGAGGCTACTAGAATTGCCTCCCTGTATTGTCTTTTGTTTTATTTTGTGTTTTAAAAAATCTTTAATATCTGCTTTTTTCCTTTGGTCCCTGGATCCCACTCAGAGATACTGCTGTAAACCTGTCCACTTCCCTATATCCCTGACCCACCCAAACCTTCCTTTAGTGTGGCAACAGTGCCACTGGTCTCTGGGCAGGATGGTCAGGGAGTAGTACCCCAGGATAATGAGTGCTCCCAAAAATGTGCCCAAAGTGGATTTGGCAGCCTCCCCTGGCGTCCAACAGAAGCGGCTGGTGGGAGGCTTTGTGTGAAGGGGCAGGTAGTAATGTTCCCATTCCTAGAGGTCAGGCTTGTTGGCAAACCTTAGCTCTCTTGGCCAATCATATTCTTTCTGGGTCTCATCGGGTTCTAGGAGATGGGCTCCTAAAAATGCATGATTTATAATTACTCATGAAGCATGGATCTCAAAACTAGTTTACACGTAGTGCATGAAGCCTTCGGGGCTATCCCTGGCTTTCTGTAATGCATTGATAGCGCAACCAATGAAATCTTGCTGCTTGGACATGTCCTCCATGGTGTATGAGCAATTTCAGGACTTGGGAGGACAGCAGAGAATAAACCAGGAAGGTGGCCCTGGTGCATTGTCTGTATCAGCCCGCCTTCCCTCATTCTCCTTCCAGGTTCAGGGATTCCAGGGTCAGGCGGTTTCCCACATCGTTAGCTGAGATGAGACTCTTCACCTCTACTGCTCTGTTCTTCCCCCTTTTGGGAGCAATTGTGGCCAGAATCTTCACATTCCTCAAACTGATGGTTTTTTTTGAGATTCCGGGACCTGTGCTTGAACTGCTTTTGGGGGAAGCCCCTGGCATCCTACCTGTGGATTTCTGGTGGCTCCCGTTTGATCTTGGCACTTGACTCCATTACTTCCTTTGCAACTCGGCCACTGTAAATAGTATAATAAAACAAGCAAGAAATGAGACAGTGTTCCAGGATGGGCTCCTCTCTAAGATCTCAGATTACTTTGGCTGAACTGGGAAATGGCCTCTTTGGCCTACCCATTCCCAAAGTTTAGGCTACTGAGAAAGGCCTGCTTGCTGGGGTAAAGAGTTCTAACATGTCCTGACAGATAATCTTAGAGAGCTCTCTATCTCTGGAGCCTGGGATCTTCCATTTTCATTTAAGAATGATTCCTCATTGTCCAGCATGTTCCAAAAATATTGCAAAAAAAGAGAAATCTTTGGACAGACATGAAAATAATTACTGTTGCAGTTCTTGGGCCGCTTTTGTAAGGGCAGGAGGAGAAGGTGCTCATTTAAAACGCTAAGGGCACAGCTGCAGGGAAGGGAAGAAATGGTCAAAGGGTCAGGAGACAGAATTTGATGGAAACCTCAGGCTTTTCTGGAGGTTCCCAGTTTTTTTGTTTTCAAGAATAAGGACCACTAAGCCACTGTTCTGGAGAGAAGGGTCTGAAAATAGGTCCATAATGGTTACTTACTGTCACTATTTACCTGTATCGGAATCGGCTCCCTTTAAAAAATAAATTGCTGCTGGACACTGTGCGGACTTGGCTTGACTTCTCCAGCCTGCGGCAAGGCAAAGTCCAGTGTGAGAAATGGCCTGCAGCTGTCCCATAGGCTAAGACAGTGCTTTCCCAGCTCCTTCCCAAGAAACCCATCAGGAGAAGGCCCCTCACAGCCGGCCTGGTCTTTTACTCTCCTTTAGGACCTGAGAGCTGGGCTCATGGCCTCAGTGCTGGGGACAGGCATACTGAAACCCATGGTCATGTCAGGATAGGGAGGGCTTCCCACGGGTGCTTCATGGGGTTCACCAGGGAGACAGAGAGAAAAAAGGGATGACGGACTAGGTGAGTAACAGAATGCCATCCACTGAATCAGCAGTGTGACCTTGGGCAGATTTCTTTTTCTCTCTTAGCCTTAGTCTTCTTATCTATAAAATAATGGGGCTGGGACTATTTGACCTCAGGAGTCCGTTCCAGTCCTAGCGTTTGATGATTCGTGTGCATGCCTGGGTAATTAGGGTGGAGAAGAGAGCAGGGACTGCTTTCCTATGGCATCTCCTTCTTGGAGAGTCCTAAAGTGTGTTAGCATATTAAAGGCTCTGAGAAGCCTTGAAATGAAGAAGCTATTTTAGCTTTAATAAATGTTCCATCATTTACATGAACTTGGAACCATTCTCCTGTCCCCAGAATGCCTATTAACATCACTCTCAAGGCTGTAGAGATAGCTGATGTGGAGACTATGGAAGGCCAGGGGCATTGGAATAAAATATCCTTTTGGGTGACTTCTCTGATCCCAGTTAGAAAGGGAGGTTTAGGCAGAGTTGCCCGGAGTGAAGTCTCTCAAGAGCCAACTCAGCCTACAACGTGCCCTGGGTGCCCTTGCTGCTAATCTAGCCAAGAGCCGACCTACGTCTGAAGCCTTGATTGGGAGCAGCCAGGAAATATTTAGGGAGCTGTCCCCACAATCTGAACAGCAGTTCCTGAGAGTCACCGCCCTCATCTATCTCAGGGCTCTGTGACGCTCAGCCTACTTGCCTTCCTGCCTAAGCACATTCTTGGGTTGACCTGGCTCCCTTCAAAGCATGGGGGCAAAGGCAGGAATCTGTGAATGAGAGATGCTCAGGGGCCAAAGTAGCTGCTGCTAGATACTTGGCATAACTGAGGCTCTGCCCCCAGGCTAGAGACTTTGAACACTTAATTGGAACATTAAATAGTTAATGGAAAACTGCACAGGGACCTTGGTTTCCACTGTGGGTGTTGGCAGGGCTGGCTAGGTGTGAAGGTCTATTAATTAATGAAGAGACTCAGAAACTGAGTTTGGTCACCGGCTCAGAAGCATAGTTCTGTTCCCATGACAAAGAAAAATGAAGGCCTTCAGAAGTGGTGCTGAAATGTTTTCTTGGCTTTCCTTGGACAGCCAGGGACTGAATGGAGAGAAATTTGACCGTGCAAAAGTCTTTTCCAAGTGTTTTCTCCTTCATCAGAGGAATAAAGATCACTCAAGTTAGCATTTGGGCCACCCATGCAGTTTATCCTGATTCTGTATCAGATGCTTAGAAAGTATTAAGCAGTTCAGAAAGACTGCCCAAGAAACAACTTTTGGGGCTGTGTCCCCAGTAAGAGGGAGACCAGTTCTGCTGGCCAGCATCCTAGAGCAGCCAGCGGGTAGCAAGGCTGCTCTCTCCAGGATCCTTCAGGTTACTGGAGGGAGAGCTATGCCTATCGGCCAGGACATACTATACACTTTTGTCTTATGTTGTCCTGATTAAGATACGGCTTATTAAATCATATCTCATTGCATTCTAAAAACAAGACCAAAGATTTTAGCAAAACATACTTTATCTGGCATTACCCCAGGTTCTCAGTGGGCTCTTTCTTTGCTTCCTAGTGCCTTTATAACCACTTTATTAAGCAAAGAAAACTGAGCACAAAACCCTCAAACATTTCACAAAATTCTTTGGTAAGTAAAATTGTTTTTCTGGCTCGAAGTAGGCTTCTCAGTAACAGAGAAGTCCTTGCCCACCTCCAGCTACCCTATCCCAGGCTCCTGGGCACTTGACTTGTCACTTGGCAACACCTCTGGCTGTGAGGTTCCATGAAGGGCTGAAATCAACGCCAGCTTAGCACCAGGTCACCCACTGGGGAGTGGACCCCAGGGTCTCTCTAAGGCTTAGGGAACTGTTCATGGAGCTATGGTATTCTGTGCTATCTTAGAGCTCTGACTGCTCTGCAGGGCCTGTTTGCTTTGAGTCAGGTACCCATGGGCTTTTTCTCGCCCAAGGCTTACTCTGAAAACCCAGAACTGGTTTGCCACTGAGAGCTGCCCAAGGACATCACAAGGCAGACCCTTAGGCAACTCTACTGAAACACATTCCCAGACCTGAGGGGGTGCACATAAACACCTGCAAAGGGGTGTGAGTTTTACAAAGAAGTCGAGCCTTGTCATTTCACATCTCATTTCTCAAAGTTTCCTGCCGATCATTCCTCTAAAGGTAGCTTTTGTGACTTTGGTTCTGATAATGACAGTCCCAATTCCATGTGTTCACTCACTTGTAGAAGGCTTGGTTCTCAATTCCACACTTCCAGAGGTGCTTGCAGGCTTCTGGAGTTGGAGCAAAATATGTGAGAATAATTTTCTTTTCCTACAAAAAATCCCACATAGAAACAGCTGAGTGTGGATGGAGAAGTGAAGGGTGAAGTAGGCCAGGACACTGACCCCTCGCACAGGCTGAGAATGGGGGAGGGGCTGCCTGAAAGCTGGCTAGTTGGAAGGGAAGGCCTGCAGGACCCACCGGGACAGGGCTCAGTTGTGCACGTAAGTTCACACCTGGCAGGGCCCATCAGTCTCAGCTGGCACAAATTGAACCAAGAGGGTCCTCACCAGAGAAAGTGGTTCTCATATCTAAATTTTTCTATTTATTATCTTGGAATTTTCATATGGAAGCAAAAGAACCTTACTTTGCATTCCCTGGAGGCATGGAACCTCTGGGTGTCATCGGCATCCCTGAGGAAGCCCTATGTTCCAGGGCCTAGCCACCTCTCCCTCCCTCACCTCCAGGTCTTGTTCTTGGTCTTGGCTTAGCATGCAGGTGGCTTATCTCTACCTGGAGGGGGCACTCTGGTTCAGCCCTGGCCATCAGGAGCCATCCCAGTGCCCCAACCCTCCTGAAAAGAAGGAAGCCAACACTCACCTCTTTCTGACTTACGTATAAATAGAAAGTCTTTCCTTCAAATTTCAGCTTGGTCACCTCATTCCTAGAAGCACAAAGAGAGTACCAGTCACCTTGCTGTGGGCTGTGTGTTCACTGCCACGTCTTCTAGATCCACAGCCCACCCTGACTGGAAGGGGCTCCAGGCACAGACACAGTTTTAGCCAAAATTAGAACTAAAACAAGACAGCAGCGCAGTGTTGAAACAGTTCAATCCACAGTTTTCTGGTCAATAAAACTATAATAATAGGGTGAGAGGAGGAGTTCAGGCTCACTAAGAGTGGCTGTAAAAGGGAAACACTGGCATGGGAAGTGAGTCTAGGTAGAGTGGTCCTGGGCCATTTCAGGATTTGGTTCATAACATAGGTGCATTATCTGGATGGGACTATCAAACATAAGATGCCACAGTAGCTGATGAGGCCAAATTTCAAGATATAGCAAATAATGAAAAACAATGCAACCAGGTTCTGAGGGAGTTGAGTCTTTCAGGTGACTGTGCCACTGGATGGAAAATGCAGTTTAATGCAGACACATGTCAAATGATCTCAGGGAGGGGGGCGGAACAACATACCAAAGAGAGAGAACAGATTACATGGAACAGTCATGCAGCGTACTGACCAGGAAAGGGGCTTAGGGGTTTTTGTAGAAAAATCCTTGAAGCCACCAGCCCAGTGAATGGCTGCAGTAAAAGAGGCAAACAGGATACTGGGGTACGTCACCCGCGGGACAGACACAAATCAGAAGAAGTGACATGGTTACTTGGCACGGCTTAGACCTCACCTCCACATACTGCTTGCAGCCTTGGTTACATTTACAAAATGGAAAATGACCAGGGTCATAGGTGGATGTCCCTGAGAGCCAGAGAACCAGGCCTCAGCACTGGTCACTCTTCCCTCCCCTTCCATTTGCCTGACACAGCTGTTCTGGAGCCTGACAGCCCTCCAACCTCACTGGGGACAAGGTCCTCATTTTTCTACCCACTGGGATACCCATGGAGTCTGACCGTGCACACCTGCCTCCTCTTGGCTTCTCCCACTTTGCAATTTTTTGGGAGATTTCCTCAGTATCCTAGAGGTACCCGAAAGGTGGTGAGAAACATGCATATCTAGTTTATTACTGGACAAAACTGAGGGGACAAGGAAGGTCACAGTCCCTGGAAGTCATGGCTGGGTCAGAATGAGAGTTCACAACTCTGACCACTAGTTCTGAGCTAATATAAGACAGTGTATTCCTTGCCTGTTTGACTCCCTTCTAATCAATCAATCTCTTTCATATATAAAATATAATACATATCAGTGGGTTAATATATAAACAAGCACACAGATCATCTAAGCTTCAACAAGAAAGGCAAGTAAGTTTTCTATTGGGAGTGGGATTGGGTTAACAGCTGTTAAAGTCAAGACATTGTGAAGAGGAGACCCTGCAGATGTGAGAAGGTAAAAAGGGTCTAGGGGAGCCAGGTGAACATCAGGGCTTCTGGTGGGAGTGGGGTAGGGACACTTTAGGAACTGCAGGTCCCTGTAACAGGTATGCTCTACCTCATGAGGCAGTTACTCTGTTCAGAGTGTGGTCCAGGAGCTGGGCTCTCTGAGGGACACCAGGCAACCCAGCTGTATCCAGCGAGCAAGTGCTCCTCACTGGGAGGGAGAGTGGTGGCCTGATGCTGCTCGTTGTCTGAAGAGTATTTTGTTGGAGAGAAGCCCCAAAACCCTCACCGTTTTCACCCAGAGAGCACAGAGAGTGGGCCAACCCTGAGCTGGGTGTGTCGGAGGATCAGTTTCACTAGCACTTGGTTATCATATTGCCAGTCTTCACAAGAGCAGTAAGAGTGGAAAGGTGGTGTCTGTCTCTGTCAGCATGGGAGCTGAAGAGGCAGGAAACGCGCCAGGGAACAGCTCCATCCCGATTCCCATGAGCTCTTCTGGGCCAAGGAAAGCCACTTGTCCAAGCCCACGGGAGTAGCTGGCCAGCTTAGACTTAGCCGTCTAAGGCCCAAGAAGGCACAGAAACCACAGGGGCTCGGTAGTAGAATACTCAGCATGTTTTGATGAGGCTCAAAGATGTTTGCACAGGCCAGAAAAAGGGTTTGTTTTATTTTTAAGATTTTATTTATTTATTTTTAGAGAGGAGAAGGGAGGGAGAAAGAGAGGGAGAGAAACATCAATGTGTGGTTGCATCTTGCGTACCTTCTGCTGGGGACCTGGCCTGCAACCTAGGCATGTGTCCTACACTGGGAATTGAACCAGTGGCCCTTTGGTTTGCAGGCTGGTGCTCAATCCACTGAGCCACACCAGCCAGGGCCAGAAAAAGGGTTTCTGGGGCAGCCAAATGTCCATCAACAAACCAGAGTCTGCACTGCATTGGCTCCCAGAGCCACATGGCAGACAGACTCCACACAGATGGGCAGAGAAGCAACAATTCAGAGTGGTTTCAGCTGAGGCAGTGTCTCCTGTCTGCTAGAAATGGGAGTGGGAGAGGGAGGAAAAAGTGGGGATGTGACCTGGAGGCAGAGGTCATCTAACCCTGAAGGATGGAAAGGAGAGACAGCAGCATCTGTGCTCTTGCAGGCAGTGCCCATGGTGAGGGTTGGCACAGTGAGGGTGTTTCAGGGCAGCAAGGTAACGTCTGTCCGTCCCAGGGGTCACTGTGAGTCCCTCCTTCGTTAGGACAGTGGGTAATGGAGTAAGCATCCCTGCAGACGCTATGGCCCTCAGCGGGGAACAGTCCCAAACTCTCGGTTCTCATGGGAACTTTGTTTCTTTAACATCAGCTCCAGCCCCCAGCCTCTCACTGTACCCAGAAACCCACCCTCCACACCCTTTCTTCCTCTGGAGAGGCTGTTGGCTCTCAGGAACACCCTTCTGGAGAATAGGATCCCTAGGAAGAGACCACTAGCTTTTTCAGTTAGCATTATGGATGCAAGACTTTGGAGAGGGCTCAGAACCGTAACTGCCCAATCACAGACAAAGGACATAGGAACCACAGCCCTCCCCAGTGGGTGAAGTATAAAAAGCCTGTCTTGGAAATGAAGATATTCACCATTTAATGAAGTGGACCCTCTTGTTTCCTTGAAGAACAACAAACCCAAAAGGTGTGAAGGCCAGAAATGCAGCATTTCCCGAGACATCCTGAAACAGAAAGATTTCTCATCAGGGTAGTGTAGGCATAGAGGTGAAAGCGTGACGGCTGTGCATCAGTTAATACTTAACACTGGCAGGAGGTCACAGGAGGAAGAGCATGGCATTTGGAAGTAAAAGGCAAGTTACTTACCTTCCCTGAGCCTCAATGCTCTTAACTGTAAGTTGTAGATCATAATGATACCAATCTTAGAAGGCTGTTGTGAATGGCAAACGCTCACACATTGCTGGTTGGATTATAAAGAGGCTCAGTCACTTTGGAAAGCAGTTTGGAAGTTCTTCAAATTGTTAAACGTAGAGTTTACCTTATGACCCAGCAATTCCACTCCTGGGTATGGTCAAAATGTATGTTCATATCAAAACTTGTACATGAGCGTTTATAGAGGATTAATTATTCATAACAGGGAAAAAGTGGAACCAATCCAAATGTCCATCAACTGATAAATGAATAAACAAAATGCAGTACATCCATACAGTGGCATAATATCAACAGTAAAAAGGGGTGAAGTACTGACATATGCTACAACCTTTGAAAACATTATGCTAAAAGAAGCTAGTTACAAAAGGTTACATGTTGTATGATTCCATTTACATGAAATGTCCAGAATAGGCAAATCCATTGAGACAAAAAGCTCCCGGCTGCGGGAGCTGTGGGGAAGGGGAGATGGGGAGTGGCAGCTAGTGGGTGCAGGGTTTCTTTTTTAGGGGTGATAAAATGTTCTAAAATTAGTGGTGACGGTTGTATAACTCTGTGAATATACTAAAAACCACTGAACTGCATACTTTAAAAGGATGGATTTTATGATATGTGAATTACATCTCAAAAAAGCTGTTATCAGAGGGAGGGGGAGAATATGGCAGTTATCATGATGGGCCCTACACGCTGGGCTCTCTCCAGAAAGCTTAGCTGAAGAAAAGATAAGGAGCAACTGGCCATGTGGAGCAGCCCTCACCAGCCCTACCTACAGTGCCTTAACAGCAAAGAGGCCTCCCGGTCACCTGTCAGTCTGTAAACACCAGGCTTGAGGTTCTGCTGAGCAAAGAGGGGAGAACGCACAGCAGAAGCTGTTAGTCACAGTTCCCTTACGTGGGAAAATGAGCTCCAGGGGGACCAGGTCTTCGAGTTCGGGATGGGGCACAGAAAGCTTGTTGGTGGACTGCGCTCTCTCAGAGCTTCCTTCATGATGGGGGCCTCCGGTGTGAATCTGCTCTGTCAGGGTGTGTGTTCAGGTGGCCAGAAACTTACGGCAGGATGCCAGTCAAATGTGTGTGCAGGACAGTAGCCTGGGCCGTAGCTTAGACGGTGCCACGGGTCCGCATGAGGCAGCTAGTGTGAGGCGTACAATTGGGGGCCCGGCTGCCTTCAGGATTTACCTCCCCGGAACGGATCTTCAGCCCATTTAGTCCTGAGAACAGTGGGACCTCTGCCAGGGCTTCATGAGCCTTGCCTCAAAAAAAAAAAAAAAAAAAAAAAAAAGCAGCTTTGCCCTAAAACTGTCTCCTAGAGTCAGGGTGTGAGCATCTGGGCCCAGGGAATAAACTAAGTACATGTTTTGAAAACATTTTCAATTAATATATTTTTATTATTGTCAGCATCTGTAGGACAATACAATGTCATCCAACCCATGGGCACAGCAAAGAGCTGTTTAAAAATAACCTGAATGGAGATATGGTGAAGCCACGGGGCTAGAGTTCCTCTTTCCTGTCATCAGTGCTTGGTGGTGGTTGTTAACACCTGAGTGCCACACCAGCACGGTCCCCGCTGGGGTCACCAGCGCCAGGCTGGCAGGTTGGCAGAGATACGGGTCAGGGCAGGCTGGCCCTTAGGGGGCAGGGTGCCTGGAGGGGTGGGCAGGGAGGCTCTGCTCGCAGGGAGACGGCCTGCCTCAGATGGAGGGTGGCACCAGGAAGCTTTCCACTCCCTGTGCAGGAGCCAAGGAAGTCTAAAACTGTAGGTTTCCAAAGGCCGAGACTTGAGTGCGAGACCTTATTTTTACTCACAGAACAGGCCTGCAATGAGGTGGGCCAGGGCAAAAACAAGATGGAAGGCACAGTGGGGCGAGCTGGGGAAGGTGTTTTCCAGGACTCCCTGGCACAGGAGAGGCCTAGAAGGAAGGATGGAAACAGGGTCAAGCTTACACAGGGTTGATGATGGCTTGAAATAACGGGAAAGAGTAGACTGGGCAGCAGCAGGGTGGGCAGGGAAGGGCCTCTATCTGTGGGCTTGGGGTCAGACCTCTCAGGCCCTGGTTCTCTGCCACTCACCTCACTGCCTGTGTGACCTCAGCCAGGTCTCTTCCTTTCTCTGTGTTTCACATGCCTCGTTGTAAAATGAGGGTGGATAATATTATCTGCCCCTTATGGTGTGCTTAGTAGGCATCCAATACATGTGTGTGGTTGTGTTGCTAACAATATAGCTGCTACGGATTAGCTCACTTTGCTGAACCTAATCAAAAATTTTATTTTGAAAAAACCTAACATGTTACTATTTTTCCTGACGATGATGGATTTAAATGTTGTTAGGAAATAAGGGTGTGGGGAGTTGGGGTAGAAAGGGAGATGTCACTCTTGTTAGGGGACCATGGAAAAAGGGGATTGAGGAGAAAGTTAAGTGGGCAGAAGGGGGAGGAGGCAGAGGCTGTTACATAGATCTGTGGGACTCACCCCAGGGACCCCGGCCAGAGCAAAGGAAGCAGAAAATCCTCCCATGAGCTGGGTGCTGCTGGCCATGTTGCTGCATTGACACCGCAGACACCTGGGGCCGGCCTCCCAGTGAAGGCAGCTGTTGGGGTTAGAGGGGAACAGCCTCCCCTGACCAGACTGGCTGATTTGGAACAGGGAACAACTGGGAATAGACCCTGATAGATGCCACATCATTCCAATAAGCAATTAACAGCATGTTGACCAATCCCAATCCAGTCTCTCATATGGAGCAATTCTTCAAACTGCATCCAGTGCACCAGTGCCAGGTGAAGGCCACTGCAAGGCCCCGGCACCTGGGCATCGACGGGTGGAAGGCAGTCGGAATGTTTGCTGGTGTCTGGCACGTGAGGAGCAAGACTTGGAATTACAGTGAGAAATCTCATATCTGTACCAGCATGCAAATGTAACCAGGCATCCATGCTGACACCTTTTCTAGAACTTGCCCAGTTTCTTCTATCTAACATGTCATTCTCATTGTAAGCCTGCCTTTGGGATTTGTGTGCACAAGCACGAGTTATGTGACAAAAAAAGAAGGAAATGAGGACGAGGAGAGAAGTGACATAGACAATAGTAACCTGTCCCCTTCCCATCCTGATGAAATCAGTACCCACAGGACTGAGCTATTAATGGACCTGGGAGGTGCAATGAAAACTCAGGTCTTGACAGCCGCAGGTGGCTGGCGCCACCTCCACTCTACGTCAGCTAACAGTCAAAAGAATTTAGTTCACTTTTACAGTTTAAGGTAGAAGTTTGTTTTCAATTTTTCATCCTTGTGGAAAGAGTTTTTGTCTTGGTTTAGGACCCCAGCTCTGGGTTTTTGTTTCTTGTTTTTTCCCAATCCTCACCCAAGGATATGTTTATTGATTTTTAGAGAGACAGGAAGCAGGCAGGGAGAGACACAGATGTGAGAAAGATCAATCGGTTGTATGTGCTCCGACTGGGGATTGAGCCTCAACCTAGGTATGTGCCCTGAGACTGGGGATCGAACCTGAAACCTTTTGGTGTACAGAACAACGCTCCACCCAACTGGGCCACCAGGCCAGGGCCCAGCTCTGTTTCTCATTTGCTCTGTGACTTACTTATCTTCTCTGAACTTCAGTTTCCTCATGTGTAAAATAAGGACAATAAGTAATACATACTTCAAAAACACTACTTCTATCTGATGGCCTAAGTGAGTTACTGACAGGACATGGCCAAAGGTGTTTTTCATGGAGTGAGGATGGACGTGCACTGCATCATTCACACGTTCAGTTTGAACCCACCATCACCCTTGACCTGCATCATCAAAGTTATGCCCTAAGGTGATCACTCTGCCTAGAAGAGGATTTTGGGAAATCACAGCACCAACTGATTCTTGGAAGTAGCCCAGTCCCCACAGGCTTCACCTCCAGATACAGTGAAGTAGGTTTCTGCCTGCTGCCTCCTGAGAAGATGCTCTGGGTATGACGGAGTGAGGACCCAGCACTCTTGGCTGTTATGCCTCTCTGGGTCATCCAGTCCACTCTCTAGATCACATCTTAATCTAACACAATCTGGGTGCATGAAACCTCTATTATTTTTTAAAAACCTTAGGGAAGAGGAATCCACATGCTCTTCCAGACACTTATGCCCATTCCTGAAAGAGCTCGTAGCTGGGAACCTTTAAGTCAATCACGAAAATCATCGAGTTTCAACATATTAGAAGCTGTGGTGGAAAACAGGAAGGGGAGGAACCCTGTAAGAGGCTTCGCATCACCCCATGGCAGCTCAGAAAGTCAAGTTCTTCATTTCAGCAGTGAACCTACTGCAGGTAGCCAGGAAGGGCTCACCTGAGGGTGAGGGCGAGTCATTACTGACCCTTCTTGTTCCGTTTCTTTGAGGACAGGGCAACCTGTCAAGCCAGGGAGGAGGGTTTATTTAGAGAGAAACCTAGGTGGCTAGATTATGAAAGTAATGATCCTATTTAAAGGGCAAAAAGGAATGACACTGTAGTTTCGTTTGTGTGGTTGCTCCAAGCTAGATCCTGCTGAAATCAGTTTTCTTCTGGTCTATTCAGAACTAATATAATGCCACCTGGTGAACTAACATTAAATTTTTGTATGATTTCAGTAGTTTCGTAGGTCTTTGCCTTCTCTCTATCACAACTGGCAGTGGGTCCTGCTTTGTTCCTAAATAAATGCCATCTCTCCAGAAGGAAGACCATGACTGATAACTGAAAGGGCACAGCACTGAGGCAGACAACTCTGGGTTTGAGTCCCAGTAACTGTCTGTACCAGGAGCTCTGGGCATGTCAGTTAGTCCCAGAGGCTCGGTGCTCTTATCCTAATAAGAGGACAAGAATATCTTGATAGTGTTATTGAAAAGAGTAAATGAGATAGTGCACATAAGTGCTTGGCAGCTTCATTCAATAAATGGCATCTTTATGACTCATAATAAGGCACAGGCTGGGTACCTGTGACAGGCGTGATCACTCCAAAAACTGCGATGGGGCCGGAGGCACAGCCCAGGCTGCAGGAGACCTGGGGGAAACCACCAGCCCCAGGGCCCCCCGGCAGGAACAGGATGCTGGCTCCTGGGGTTGGAGAGGTGCCAGGGCCGGGGAATAGGTGCAACCCCTGGCTGCCGGTGGTTTGCTCTGCTCTCCTCGCCCAGGAGCCACAGGCTTGGTCTGCCAGAGCGCCTGCCAGGAGTTGGGGGTGGGAGGAGGTGCAGAGAGCTCATGACAGCCTGTGGAAGTTCAGAGTCTGGGCATTATCATAAGCCAGCTGGCTGTTGGAGCCCCTAGTCTGTCCCACCCAGAGTTGGTAGTATCTCCTCTTCCTGGTACGAGGTCCAGAGACAAGGACGTTGTGGGCAGAAAGAAACCGTCAGCATGGACAGGAAGAACAGCAGCTTCTTAATTGGTCCAGGAGAACAGAGCCCAGCCAAAGTGTTGTTCTGCTCTCATTTAATTATCAAAACGATTCCTTTTCTCCTGACCTCCCTAGGGCTGCGTGCCCCAGATTCCCTGGGCCCAGTAATTGCCTCTCTGTTAATAGAAATCATCAGTATTTATTACACTGAGTGCTGCAGCTTATTTCAGCCCTCCTGTAGCAACATTAAGGCAAGTGCTTGGTAGCATGTCACCAGAGTGACTACTCGATGACAAGAGTAAAGGCTCCCAAACTGTTCTTGCTGAAGAAGGCTGAGGAAATCCTGAGCCAGAGCCCGATAAGGTGAGCTGAGGGGCCACGTGTGGGGTCTGCAGCAGGGCCCTGAGGTGGCCTGGGGTGAGCAAACAGGACAGGGCCCAGGAAGAAGAGACTGGAAACCCAGTGCTCTGGCTGCTCTCACCTTCTCCCTGAGGCAGTCTCCTGAGGGCTCCTTATAGACACACAATGGGGAGTGACTTGAGTTCAAATTCTTGCTCTGCTGCTCAGGGCCCTGTAAATTGTGGCTTCCTGGAACTTTTATCTTCACATTGATAAACCATGAAGAACCCAATACTCATCTCCCAGGGCTGGCATGAAGATTAAATGAGAAAATAATGGGAAAGGATTCCAGTGCGCTTGCCAAGGAAGATGTGCCACGAATGCCTCTTCCCTCCTCGCTGCGGTCTCTTTAGCCTGTGTCCGAGAAGGACAGACTCATCAAGGACGGGGCTGAGCCAGGAGCCCCACAGTCACTCAGCTGTGCCCAGGTTTACTGTCCACTGTGTGCTGTTAGGTGAAAGCCCTGCCCAGGGACCCATCTCTGAAGAGGCAGGCACTCTGTGTGGCCTCATGGGGACAGAGCAGGTTTGGAGTCAAAATGAGAGGCACTGGTACTTCCTGATGCTATATCTATTTTTAGGCAGCCATGTATTTCAAGGTCATGAAGTGATTCAGCAGTTCAGGGCAGAGCACAGTTACTGAGTACCCACAGTGTACAGACGAGGCAGGTGAGGCTCAAGAGGGGCCTCAAGGGGCTCCAGTAGGTAGGAGACCAGTACTGGAACCAAGGCCCGCGGACTGCAAGGCTCTCCTCAGTCCTGTGTGGGCTCCCCAGCTGACAGTCTCTGAGCAATTAATGCAGGTTGAACTACAGCAGTTATGTAGAGGGCATTATTTATGAAGCTTTGCTAATTCATTTGTAAATATCCACATACGAAGTTTTTGGTGTAAATAGGCATCAATGTGTTTCCTGACAGTGCTGGCCCCTAAGAACACAGGGGTTATCTGGCAGGAGGCTGTGCCGGGGAGGTAGGGACCTGAGGGGCGGGGGAAGGCAGCCAGGGTTTCGGAGTGCCGGGATGCAGAATGTTGTCAGAGTTCACATGTGAAGTTTCAGCATTAAGTCCTGGGCAGGAACAAATCCCCATCACCCCACCAAAAGGCCAAGGGAAACACAGCTCTGTCCTCACATCGCTGGGTTCCTTGGTTTCTATTCTTTTGATTTTTGTTGGAAACTTAGGATGTCCCCTCAATTCCCTCCTGTTCCCCTTTGATACTGTCCCTCAGATCAGTGTGAAAATCAGTTTTACTGGTGGCACTGGGGTAGGAAGACAGAGGCAAACACTGGGGGACACTGAGGCAGAGACAGGAGTGTCCGAGCAAGTAGCACATGGAGATGAAGTGGAGGGATGTGGCCACAGACTAGAGGAAGACACCACGGGTCTCCACTGCTCTCTGCTGTGACTGGCTGCCTGAGCTCATCTCCAAAATGCCAGACGCATGTAAGTAATTACAGAGGTTTTTTCTGGGCAGAGCCTGCCTGCCTGGTTCCCGTCTCGCCCTCACATGCACATAATGGAATTAAATGTGACTCCACTGCAGTTCCACGCAGTGACTTACGCTGCTGCAGTCAATAAAACCCACTCTTGGAAAGAAACTAGATTACGGGTCAGGGAAGGGTGGGCAGTCTGCTGAGTCACCTCTGGTCATTCCCCAAGGGGCGGGGGCACTTCCACACTGCTCCTTTCTTCATTGCTACCAAATTACCCACCGCTGCCAAACTGGAGCCCCTGTTTCAGATTTGTTATTTAGACTGACTTTGTCTCAGACCCTCTGACACTGATGTGGCAGCACAAAATTATGCAGCGTGGACTCTAGAGCAGTTTTCAAAACAAGACATTTTCTCTGGCATCTGTCGCTAAAAGCAAATCACCCAGCTGTTGGAGGGGTGGAGGGTGCAGGCATGTGGTCCCTTCTTGCCTGTTGCCCTCCATAGGAGGCAAGGTCCATGCAGCCTCCCAGCACGGGGGTCTTACCTTGCACGGGTGAGGGTCTACTCCATATGTCTCCAATGTCTGTGCTTTTCTTAAAAAGTTCAGCTCTGATGTTGCTGGTGTTTGACCACTGGAATAAAGAAAACGAGATGATTTCACGTGAGGCAAATTATTAAGTGCTCAGGATAAGGCTCACACCACAATTTTTCCAGAGTGCACTCTCTGCTCCGTTCTAGGAACAACTTCAGAGATTCCTGCCTAGGATCAGAAACTCAGATGTCTTCAGGGTGAGGCAGGGTAAATAATGAATGACATGGGCTGAGGGTGAGACAGTAGGGACTGGAGGGAACTGTGGCGAACTGGGGAGTGCTCTCCCATCTAATGTGGGCAGCTACTCCTCTGCTCCAAGACTAGTTGTGGGAATGCAGCGCCCAGCACTGTTAGATGTAATTTTTAATGAGGAGTCAGACCACCCAGGAATACCAAGTTCTGTAGGCTTTTGCCTCACTCTCCTTTGGCCCCTGCCCCACCCAGGCCAGAGACACACAAGCACACACATGTATGAGCACGCACACACACACAAGGACACACCCCATAGATCAAGGGTGCCTGTGTCTCTTTCATCCCCAGGGGTAAAATAAATAAATAAACAAACAAGCAAGCAAGCACACAAATAAATAAAGAGAAGTCAGAGGTACTGTTTTTTTTTAAGTGTGGTATTTCATGATTTAAAATACTATAGGGGCAAACAAAACACATCGACAGCCTGGCTGCAGGCCATGGGTTTCTCATTTGTGATCTGATCTAGATTGAAATACAGAGAAGGGGCCTGTATATCTTGCTGCTTCTGCCTAAGCCTCTTCCTTTACAAAGAAGGAACATGGGAATGGAAGGTAACAAGATGCAGCAGGAGGCAGTGCTGAGCTTCCCAGATGCCACGATAGCTGTCTGTCTGTCCACAGGGTGTTGACTATGAAAAGGAAACGGGCAGCAAAAGGAAGGAACCAGCCCTGGCACCATGCCATGTGAAGAAGGGGCCTTTGGCAGCATCACTCCGCTCCCGGCTGCCTCTTCAGCAGGTGCGCAGAGGAGCTCACCACAGACCATGGCAATATCACCACGGTCAGGCTCTCGGGCCCCCGAGCCCTGGCACAGCAGATGTACTTCTACAGATGTGGGGTTGGCTTCAGGGGGAGGAGGGGTGGGCAATGTGTTGTGGAGGGCAGGAAGACCTGCCACCCACAGGAGGAGCAGGCCAGCTTCCCTCTAGTGTCCCTCTGGAGAGACAGCAACCAATTGGTACTGTATATGCCAGCCTCTGTGCTACCTGGGGTAAAATATACCAAGACATTCAGTGTGCAGTCTGGGCCCTTGAGGAACTCATGTGAAGAGTTGCAGAAACACAGACACATTTTTACATTAGGAAGATGAAACTGAACGTGTGTAAGTAGTCCCTGTATGTAGGCATTATGCTGACAGCAGACTTCTACATCCATCAATGGGTTGAGACACAGCAGAGGTGTTTGGAAAATGCTCCCGTGCAGTTGGAGTTGGCCCAAGCCTCTGGGGGCTTTCAAGCGGGCATCATCTTCCTGGGGGATCTCCAACCTTCTACCAGGTTCCTAAAGGGCTGTCCCCCATCTAAAACCCTCCTGGAAGCGACTCAGGGGAGTCTCAGCACATCCCTCCTATCTCCTTTTAATGAATCCTGAGCCCTCACACAGGCCTGTGTATTCTGACCTTGACCACAAGGGGCCGCTATTTCCCTAACAGTCAAGGGAGGAGCCCTTCACCCAGGAAGGCCAGAAGCGTGGGGAGCGGCTAGGATTCCACCTTTGAATAGGTGTCTCTCGGAGGGTAAGGAACCAGTCCTGCCGCAGACAGTGGGCAGGACCTCTGCTTACAAAGGCTACGGAATCTGTGGGGCTGTATTTGTTGGTTAAATCTTTGAAGGAAGGTGAAGATTTTTTGTTTTGAGGGGGCCAAAGGATCACGGTAGGGACTAGTTTAGGTTTACTATTATAATTTGAAATATCTTTTACCCCCTCCTGGGAATTTTTCTTCCCCAGAATGGCAGTTACACAAACATGTTAAAATATTTTAAAAAATTATAATACATTGGTATAATGGCATGTTTTATTTTACAACAATGCATTTTATGTATCATTCCTCTTCATAGTTTATCAGTTTGGGGAATCGGCGCCCCAACATGCCACACAAAGTAGAGTCCAAGCATCCCAGTTTTTTATATTTGTTTTTTTTTAAGTCAATCTTTATAGAAAATCTTATTTCATGTGTGTGAAAGGATGGATGCCATGATGCTATTTGATGAAATTAGGAATTGGGTGAACTAACAATATGAGTGAACTAAGAATCTGAGGAGGGCAAGCCTCCTGCTTCCAGGTGTTTCTCTCCTCCTTCTCTTTGTGCAAGGGTGTGGGGTTGAGGCAGTGCTGCAGATTGTCTCTGAACCAAGTGCTCTCAGGGCAACCAAAGTATTTATGAAACAGGCCAGCCTGGTGCAGTCCCACCCACTGACCTGGGTAAGCCCTGAACACAGTCTCAGATTGAGGGCAGAGGCTTGCTCATTTTTCAACCTCCACTCAACCCTTCCTCTCTAATCTTTTTTCTTTTCTGCTGTTTATGTTTTTCTTTCTCTTTTTGCTAGTTCATGCTTTAGACCTCTTGTCTCTTCACTTTTCTTGGTGAAGCAAATACCTTTGAGGCCAACCCCTGTCTGTTTTCCTTGCCGTACAACATCTTTCTTGCCTTTAAGGGGGAGCCCACAAGGCTTGGTTGGGGTCCCTGAAAATGGTACACCCAGAGTCAGACTGTGTGGGAGACAGTGTCCTGGCCTTGAACTGAGTGTTACTCACCTGAGTTCTGTCTTGTGAATCTCGGCAATTTTCCTTTCCAGCTTCTCTGAATGTTTAGGGAAAAACTGGAACTTGGAGCTGTAGCCTTCAGGGTGTTTCCCCGGGTCATAATCTCCAATCTCCGCTTGTAAAAGGAAAAGTAGAGGAAAACAATTGTAGAGACTGGCGAAGCAACAAAAGATGAACACACAGAGCAAATGTCAAAGCAGGTACCAGCTTCACAAAAACAGTGGATCTTGAGCATGGCTGTGGGGCAGGCAGAGGACATGCCTCTCAGGAGCATGCCCACGCCTGTGTTCCCAGGCGAGCACACTGGGTTGATGATGAGTCTAAGCAGAGGGAGAGTAGAGCTGACCCTGTGTTCTGAGGGCACCACAAGTAAATTTGCAATAAAAGAGAGATCTACACTGTCATCCTCATCCACTCAGTTATGAGAAGAGGGCCTGGGAGTAATGTTTTTTTGGCAACACAGGACATTGAGCTTGATCAGAAAGACAGAATCCCTTGGGCCTGAGCCAGATCAGAAGAAATCTCGTTTTGAGGATTTTAGCAGGGACAAAGCAAATTGATGAATGAGCCATGATGCAAATTCAGAACTCAACTCTCAGTCCAAACCATATAAAATCAAGTGAGTAAATATCCACTGAGGGCTGAGCAGATACTGGACACCGTGGAGAGGACTGTGGAGTGGGGAAGACTGGCTGTAACCAGCAACTGTCATTGAGACCAGTGGCTCCGGGTCTTAAAGCTGACTTCTCAGCTCCCTGCAGCAGGTGGGGCTTTTTATGGGCATCCATCCCTAACTCTGCTAAACTCTCATATCTTAGAGCTCTTTGCAGGCAGGGGTGGCAATGGGCCCATTGTGGTCTCCACAGTGTGTTCCTAGGTGAGAACCTAGTTTTGCCTACGTGAAGTACTCTACCGGGAACATCACGGGTACATGAAGAGGAAGGATGTTAAGAAGCTGTAGCTGCTTTGAGCTTGTACTTTCTCCTTCGCTAGTGAAAACCACAACCAGTACAGAGAGAAGTCTGTGTTCTCCTCTCACAGTTTAATATTATGCTTCCAAACACTTGGGAATTTCTATTATTAAGCAAGAGACTAAAGGCTTCCCTAGGTCTAATGTCTGGAGTGACCTTGAGCCATGGAGTATTTATTATGATTTTATTTAGAAAACTCCAAATGGAAAGCATTGATATTGGACTTCACTTTTCTTAAAGAAAAAAATAAAATGAAAATTTCAATATGTTTGTCAGGGTAAACTGAAGGAAAGACTAGAGTTTAAAATTTCCAAACCAGGCTCTCCTTTAAAAATGAAAGGAGCCTCTTTTTGGGTGCCTTGGAGTTGGCAAACACCTTCCTGTTTAGGTGATTTTTCAAAATAAGAGTCTTAGAAATCAAAGTTTTAATGGGCTGACTTTTACATTCATAATGTACCTGTGATATTACTCTTGCCAGAAGAATTTTAGTTTCGGTTGGCAAGGACTTTCCAGGTTCTCTTCATAAAGTATCTTCCTGGAGTTCACTGATTTCCAATTAAGAGTTCACATGCTTTGATGGGAATATCATGATTTTAGTGCTATGGTCCAAAACAATCCAGTGACAGTTTCAGGCCTAAGTACTAAAAGTTATTTAGGAAGTGGCATTTAGAAGTCTCCTGCATTTCATGAAAGGAGAAGAGATTATATATGATGAGTGCTTCCCTTTCCCACTGTTTGTGCAAAAAATTCCAATCTGGGCACCAGCTAGGTAACAGACTCAACTCTACCTTATTAACATGTTAGAAAATGCGTTTGTTACTTAGAAACATTTTCAACTTTGAACAGAAAGGGCTCTGAAATAGACACCACAATTCCAAGGCGCTTCACATCTTTGAGATTTGCATGAAAGGAAAAAATGTATTGCTCTCTAGAGTCTCAGTAATGTTATCAACCAAGGATGATAAAACACCCCAAAGTCAATGAGAATGACTGGAAGGGCTGGCACAAAGCCCTCGGGTACAGGATGGCGTTGAGGGGTCAGAGCTTTCTGGGTCTAGGAAGTCAAGGCAAAGCCCTCTAATTCGAACTCTGCTTCAAGTTAGATATATCTGTGAATATGCAAGAAGTAGTCATCTGTGGTAACTGAAATAATGTAATCAGTAGTTAGCATGAAAAGCAAATTTATCCTGTCAAAAGTCATTACCTTGAAGGATATAAGCCGCTAACAAGGCAGCATCTGATGTTTTGCAGAGGAGGCGACCGTGGTAGAGATCCCTTTTGATCTGTAGGAAGACTAAATACCTGGAGAGAAAACAGAGAGTGAATTGTAAAGAATGTCTTTGCTTTAAAGACCAACTCTCTGTCATGACACTTTTACTACATTAAAAAAACCCCTCAAAACATACCACAGAACAAATACATTTTGCATTTCCCTGAAGACTCTTTGAAGTACTTTGCCCTGAACTGATTTGAGGTTCAATTCAAAACAACCTGTCAGTTTCTTCCTGTAGCTCAAAACAGAAATGGCATGACCTGGTAAAAACATTGTCCCCTCAGTGCTGGGCTTTGGGAGGAGCCAGCCCAGATGAATTCAATGCAAAAACAAAAACAAAATCCGGAAAACAAAAAACCTAAACAAGTTTTGGGAAGGATGTGGAGAAAAGGGAACCCTGGTGCCCTGCTGGTGGGAATGCAGACTGCTGTAGCCACTGTGGAAAACGGAATGAAGTTTCCTCAAAATACTAAAAATGGAACTGCCGTTGGACCCAGTGATCTCACTTCTGGGAATATAGCCTAAGAATCCCAAAACACCATTCAGGAAGGATATGTGCACCCTTATGTTCATACCAGCATTATTTACAATAGCCAAAATCTGTAATACAGCCCAAATGCTCATCAGTAGATGAGTGGATAAAAAAGATTTGGTACATTTATGCAGTGGACTACTGTGCAGTTGTTAAAAAAGAAGGAACTCTTACCCTTTGCAACAGCGTGGATGGACCTGGAGAACACTATGCTAAGTGAAATTAGCCAGGTGGTGAAAGACAAATACCATATGTCACTCACATATGGAATCTAATGAACAAAATAAACTGATGAACAAAACAGGACCAGAGGCATGGATACATGGAACAGACAGATCTCAGAAAGGAGGGTGTTGAGGACTGCAAGAGATTAGCCAAAAGAACATATACGCATATAAACATAGCCTATGAACACAGACAACAATGTGGTGAAGGCCCAGGGGGCAGAGGGAAAAGAGTGGGGGGAAATGAGGGTCTTCTGTAATAATGTCAACAATACAATTTTTTTTTTGTAAGAAAATAAACCCGTGTGTGAAGAGAGGGTCCAGCTGGGACTCTCTCCACCTTGGACTCTGGCTGATGTTCCTTCTTAAAAAGCTAAACAGCAGATGAAGGAAATAGCCCAGGGAAGAGCTCTGCCTTGGCTTGTCAAGAGAACCTGTCCATCTGCGGAACAGCCTTCAGTTATTGGCAGAGGTCAGGCAGACCACTCAGAGTTGGATAAGGTGTGAGAAGAGGCACGGGTGAAGGAAGCGCAGAAATGGTGGCTAGTGATTCGGCAAGTACAGGAAGCTCTCACCTCAGGTGGAAGCAGGATATCAAGAGCAACAGCTTATAGCCACTGACAGATAGTGAACACTTGCTGTCTGCGAGTCCAGGAGTTATGCACTTTACATGCAATATCTCATCTAAGTCTCACAAACGCTTTGAGATAGTTGCTATTATTATCCCCTCCCCCCCACTCCGCCCCGGCATTAAGATAAAGAAACTGAAGCTCAAGATACTTCCACAGGGGCACACAACTGGTAAGGGGCAGGGCCGGGATTCAAATTCAGGACTGTCAGGCTCCTGAGGCCGGCTCCTAATCACTAGGTCACACCTGCCCGCCTGGCACTGTAACTGCTTCACAGTATCACAAGTAGTTGGTGGACCCTATCTCAGTAGCATGGAATTGTTGACTTTCCATTTTGAAAATGCCTTTAGAAGGAGAGGGGTCTGTTCATAACCTCACTGGTACCCGAGGAAGAGCAAAAGCCAGTGGTATCACGCCCTTCAGTGAGTCACCTACCACAGTGGCTCCTTGGCCAGGAGGGCGGCTGTGGTGGTTTGAAAATATGCCTGTCAATTATTTGCTACTCCTCATCTCCAGAGGCAGAACCTAATTCCTTCCCTTTGACTGTACATAGGAGTTAGTGACTTGCTTCTAACAAATAGAATAAAGTAGAAGTGGTAGTGTCTGACATCTGAGACTAGGTCATAAAGTCATCACATCTTCCTTCTTGTTCTCTCTCTTGGGTCACGCGTTCTGGGTTGAGGACACATTAGCAGCCCTTTAAAAAGGTCCACGTGGTGAGGAACTGATGCCGTTTGCTAACAGCTCGCAAGAAGCTGCCACTTTCTGCCGAGAGCCATGTGAGTACATCATCGTGAAAATGAATCCTCCAGTCAGGCCTTTGGATGACCGTGATCCCAAGAGGCCCTGAGCCAGAACGACCGGCTACACTGCTCCAGAACTCCTGACCCACAGGAACTGAGAGATGACAAATGCTTGTTCGTTTAAGTTAGGTTTTGTGGCACTTTACTAGACAGCCGTGGATAACTACAGCATCCCCAGGGGAGTAATGGACATAGTAAAATTCCTTTAAATGCTGTCAGTCTGAACCAAAAAGAAAGTGGACCCTCCCTGGACAACTAGAGGTTTCCACTGTTTCTGTTTTCAGGCTGAAGGATGAAACAGAGGATTCCAAGTTCACTTGATCATGTGACAATGCTCAAAAAAAACAGGTCCACTGACAGTGCAACTTCTGGGGTGAGGAGGGGGACCAGCAGGCAACTCTGAGAGCCTCAGGCTTGGTGATTCAAATAATAACAAAGAGAAATTGAAGAGCAAGCAAACCTCTTCTCTTCCAAGGCCTTGCTGCTCAAAGTGTGGCCCACAGATCTGCCTCACCTGGGAGCTGGTCGGAAACGGAGACTATTTGTCCTGTGCTAAGCCTGCTGAATCATTTTAAGATCCCCAAGTGATCTGCATATAGAATAAAGCTTAAGCATTTTTCTAACCACATCAGGATGGACTTCCCTCCTCAAAATAAGTGGGGGGGGGGGTGCATTGCAGTCTGGAAGTTAATACAGGCTCCGTTCATCACCTCAACCACCACCACCACCACGCTCTGCTCCAATGTTGGCCGAGAACAACTGAGGGAAAAAGAAACCATGCAGAGGGGAATGTTAAGATGGATCTAGCAAATCAAGCTTGTCTTCACTCTGCTTTCCAGGGTGAAATGCCACAGTGTGTGGGGAGGGGGAGGGGAGGGAAAGAAGGGAAAAGGAGGAGGAGATGGGGAGAAGGTTTCTCTGCCTCTCAGTCCCCAGCTCCCACCTTCCAGAGGCTTTTGCAGGATGTGGAAGCAAACCTTCTGCCCCTTACTCACTGGTCAGTCCTCCCACACCTCTCTGCTTTCCTGTGTCCAGAATTCAGGGACCACACATACTGGACTGAAGGAGATATTTCAAAGGGACAATAAGGCTCTGGGCAGTGACTCTCAATGTGGCAGTTAGGAGAACATTCCCCGGAGGAGCAAGTCAGAATCTGTGTGTGTATGGGTGCTCCTGGGTTTGAAAAAGCACCTCTAGGGCCCCCTTTGCCCAAGGGGGACACACTCCTCCTCACACTGAGAACCACTAGTTTTTATGAGGCAGCTTTATGGATGGGTGCATGTCAGGTGCCTCAGGTGAGCTGGAAAGGAAACAGGACTTTCCACTGCAGGGAGGGGTTTCTTCAGACTTCTGGAGGTAGGGCAGCTACAGGGAGGCCAGGGGTAAGGCCACAGGAACATTGCTAGGCAATGGTACAGCAATTGGAGAGGGAGGGGAAGGAAGGGCAAGTCAACCTCCTAAAGAAACAAAACAAAATATAGAGGACAAGGAGAGATGAGCTCATGAAAGAATCAACTGGCAGCTTCAAGGTAAAGAGGGTCCCCCCTTGCACTAGGGGTGCCTGCTTCCTGTTCTGCTGCAGCGCCTTCCATCATGATGCATGTTTTGTTCATTTAAGGAGATAACCAATGACTTGGTGTTGTTGGTCATGAAAATATATCCCACATGATTCTTTGCATTCTTAGACCTATTCTTGAGACCCTGGCATGTTCTCTCCTGCCACACATGGCCTGAGGGAGACCATCTTGTTGCCTGAGGCATTGCCACCCAGGGCCACTGTGTTGCCAGGCAAGAGATAGGCTTACTGGGGCCACCCAGCCGTGCTGGCTTCTGATGAGCAGGTTGGCTGGGTTGCCCAATCCCAGGACCCCAGGATGGGAGTTAGAGAGCCCAGTCCTCTCATTTTGTAGCTGAGGAAGTAGAAGTCCAGACACGTAGGGTGACTCGGCTGAGGTGACACAGTGATCAGAATCAGGACAGCCTCCTGGGCCAGGGCCTAGCGCTTCCTCCACCCCTGTGGTAATTCAGTTATTATCGGGTTGGGTGCAAGGCGCGGTCCTAAATGAAGTCAGGAGAACTCTGCCATCAGAAAGAAATTTAATTCTTTTGGTTCCTTAATGGAACCAAACTAGAAATTAGTTTTAGACAAGATTTAAGATGACCAGTGTGCTCTTTTAGGACACTGTTTTGGGTAAACTTTGCCTGTCTGCTCTGACCACAGGAGGCTTTACCTCACGTCCATTTTTATGCCTGTGCTATATCGGTGGGGTGTGAATAAATGAGAGCTTAAAAGACAACCAAGGAAAACCTGAGTTTTTCTGTAACAGATACACCTCTTCAAGGTACTGGCTTCGGCATTATGCTTCCGATATCAGAAGGTGGGGATGGATCCACAGATATTTCCAGAAATAAAGGTCCTGAACCTTGGAAAGCATTGGCGGCTCCTTTAGAGGTTCTTCCAGAAGATCCTTTGGCTCTACCCTCCCTTCATTAGATTCTTTGCCTCTGGTGTCCTCTATTTTCAACCATCCTTTTCCCTAAGGATAATCAGGCTTAGTATGTCCTCCCCCATACTAGACTGTAAGCTCCTTGGAGTCAGAGGCTATATTTTATTTACTTTTAATATTCTTCTAGAGAGCACACATACCCTGTGCCTGGCTCACCTGCTCACCCTGCTTCCCACCAGCCACCCAGCCACCTAGTTCTGAGCACGTACCTGTGCCAGACAGGTGCTGGGAGGACAGCAGGGAATAAGACAGAGTCCCGACTCTTATGGAGCTCACATTCCAATGGGAGAATCAGATGACAATAACAACAAAACAAAATAGCAATAATGATTTACTGAGTACTTGCTGTGTGCTACACACTGTAGTGTTTAACATGTACGCTCTCATTTAATTCTCACAACAATGAGGTGATGACTGTTTTTTATCCCTGTCTCATAGATGAGGACACTGAATGATCAGAGATATGGTTGCTTGCGTTGTCACATAGATAGTTAAAGAAAAACCTGGAATTCGAACCCAGGATTTTTGAACCCTTTTAATTCCTTAGCCCAGGGTCTGCAAAGACAGCATGCCACCGTAGTTTCCAATGAAATAAAATACAATTTTATTGGAATGCAGACGTGCTCATTCCTTTATGCATCGGCTACTATAGCTGCCTTTGCTCTGCAATTGCAGAAAAGAATATTTGTGACAGAGACCACATGGCCTACAGTGTGTCTATCTGGCCTTTCACTGAGAAAGTTTGCCATCCCATCTTAGCCCAAGCTGGGCTCAAGTGATATTCACTGAAGGGATAAATAATCTGAAAACTCCATTCACTCATGCATATATTAGTTCATTCTATTAACATTTTTTTTTTGAGCACGTGCTCAAACATGCGTCAGGAAGTGAGCTTCTTTGGAAGGTGGGGTCCCCTTTGTACTCAGTTTCTATTACTCGATCTTTCCAGAGAGTTTGTGCACCTGCAGTTCCTGTTAAAAGCTAACTCTGGTGCCTAATCCCCACTTTCTCTGCCTTGTCTCCAGCTCAGACAAGAAAATCTATTTATTACTTTAAAAAATGACAAAAGAGATTAATCAGGATTTGGCAACTAAATTTATCATCTGGGAAGAGTCCAAGAGATAATAAATTGAAGCACAGTTCTTCACTCCCTACTTCATCCCCTCCTTTCAGCCTGGCTTTATGGGGAAGGATGAGCCAGTGGTGAAATTTAGGGCCAATATTGCTAGGAAAAAGCCCACTGACAGCTAAATTAGTTTGGCAGTAAAGTGTCGTAGAGGGCTCTAAGCCAGGAATGAATTATGGGTATTGACTAGGGCCGGGGCAGGTACCTGCTCTCTTAAGACCAGCAGGGATGTGAATGAGGATCAGGATGCAGCTAATTCTAAACCTGGGGAGGGGGAGGCAGGAAGACTCCAAATCAGGCTCAGGCGCCCTGTGGCTCACACTCCCGACAATGGCTGGGAACTGCATGCTAGGGAAGAACGCTGGTGAGACGCACAGCAGCGGGAAAGTGGTCAAGGATGGTCAGCATGAAAGCTTGCTGGCTGGAGAGGAGCTCACATACTTGCCGGTGTCCTTGAGGTTTGCTGACTTGCTCAGAGGCCCAACCATGTTCCTCCTGCCATACTGACCAGGACTTGGGCAGTGACCTAAGATGGCTTTCTCTCTGAGTTCTCAAAAGTTAGCTGCTTAAGTGTTAGGGACTCTTTGCTGGCAGGGAATAGGAACAAAAGAGGGGTGGGAATTATCAGAAAAGAAGTATCTTTCATATAAACAAAGGAGAAAAGCCAGAGCTAACTGTATTTGTGTCCCATAAGCAGAGCCCTTGGGGATCCATGGACCATGTAATCAACCTGGCAGTAAACAGATACCGAGCTTTTGCTCAGTGCAAGTCTTATGGGAGAAGGGGGGTATTAAGAAGTACAAGACCTTGTATAGTGATTAATCCTCCCAACAATTCTATGAAGTAGCTATTACTATCCTCATTTTATAAATGAAGAACCTGAAGACCAGAGTGCTTAAATGTCTTATATCCAAGGCCACATAATCAAGAAGTGACAAACAGGATCTGAGCTCTCAAGTCTATTCTGTTTCTTGGGTAGGGGGGTCTGTATGTTAGTATTATGCAGTGACATTTGATTTAGAAAAGTGTGTTGTTAAGAATTCCTCCTAAGGGCCAAGATAACCATACAATTTTGTCCTTGAATGAAATCAGAAAGCCATGTGTCTGTGGTGCTCTCACTGACTGGATCAGACCAACCCTCCTCAGCCCACTGTGGGTTAGTGAGGTGCAGACCTGGCAACCCTGGTGTGTGGTGTTAGAAGGCGAAGTGCTAGGCTCTCAGCAAAGATGTGTTCAATTTGGTCTGACATGGACAGGAGCATGGACTTCTGGGTCTGCCCTGGCATTATCACCTCTTTCAACAGAAAGAGGGAGGAGGGAGGAGGGAGGAGGAAGCGGACGGGAGGGATGAGCTCCGAACTAAGGCAAATGCTCTGGAGATCACGAGCAAGGCAGGCTAGAGCTTTGCTGAAACTCCTCTCTGTGGTGAAACATATTAATTTACCCTCACTGTTCTGCCTAAAACTACAAGATTGCTTATTAATATGGATGAGCTTGGTTTTTAGAAGCAAAGAAGGAGCCATATCTGCTTCCATGTGGATGAGCAGAGCCTGTAGTTTCTGTGTCCAGTAAAGACCAGGTTTGATCCCAGCCACACGCCTCGCTGCCCTCAGCGCGCACTGCTCCAGGCACGGGATCCTCTGACCAGATGCCAAGATTGCCCCCGCCCTGCCCTAGGGCCCATGGGAGGAAGCCACTTGCCCTCCCTGTCTGTCCCACTTCTTTGCTTTCTTTGCAAGGCTTGTTCCTATTTCTTGCCTTCTTCTCTCCCCATTTTCTCAACTTTTTTCTCAGAGAAACTTTTGCTCTTTTCACTGGATTTAAAGGTAAGTGGCATGCTCTTCAGAACATGAAGTGAAAATAATTTCATAGTCTTCCTTCCTTCCTCCTTCTTTTTTCCTTTTTTGGATTTTCCCAAGCAGTTCAGAATCTAGATGTCTCAAAGCCTCACAGGGCTGTCTCTGGCCCTGGTAACAGCCTCATCCCGATCTGTGTTGTCTCTGAGGTTTCAGGGAGTGGACGGAGCTGGCAGAGTTGTTTCCTGCTCAGCTCTAGGGTTTCTTGGCGTGACCTCTTCACTGGTGTCCCCACTCCCTCCAGGGTGAAATCAGGATTTCGCTTATGTCAGCATTCGGTCTTTCTAATATATATCGCTTCTTGGCCTTTTGGCTAAGGTCAAGTGTAGATCTTTCAAATATAAAAATTAAGGATCCCTGTTACATAGAGTTCCTAATGAGGCAATACTTTTAGAGTGAATTTGGCTCAGAGATACAAAACCCTGGGGAATCTCTGAAGCTCCTATTCATTGACATGGTTGTGGGCACAGAGGTTCTTTCTCACCCTCAAGTGGCGTTGGGTGGGATGGGAACCATTCACTGCAACCGTCTGCTCGCCACAGAACACATGCCCACATTGAAGGTTTACCACGGACCTGAGCCATCAGCACACTGGAGTGTACCCACTTGGATTTAAAATCAGTATTTCCCAGCTGGTTTTTCAGTGTTGTGCTCTGGCATTGCCCAAGTACATTAGGCCATGGAGCCTATTTCAGTCCCCCCCAAAGCAGCAACACAGCCCCTTCCAAAAACGTCCACAGTGGCCATGTCACAGGTAAAAGAAAAAAAACGCATTTGTTTAATTACTACAGATCCCTTTGAGGATGACCAGTTCAAGGCAAAGTATTCGCACTTCTTGAAGAAAGATGCTCATTCTGTTCTAATTCTACTCAGGGTGTGAGCAAAGAAAACGTGTGGAAATGAAAAACAAAAGAAGTAAGTTTATACTTAGGAAGAATTCCTCGCCTATAGGAGTTAGGAGCTTCCAAAATAGGGGACGTGGGAGGTTATAGTCCTTCTCTCCTGTCCTGTCCAACAGGCCTTAGTGGCTGAGGGAGTGTGCTTAGCCTCACCTGGTTATTTCTTCTTTCAGGGCAGCAGGGTCTGCAGGGTAGAACTTCACACGGAAACACATGGTGAATGGAGGCTGGGCTGCAGAGAAAAAGAGGTGCCCATCAGGGAAGACCCTCTTTCCCAGGGATGACTGGGTTCCCTTCCCCACCCTCAGGATGGTGGGGATGCATGGGCCTCTGAACCCTCAGAAAAAAGTCCTCAGATGTTTAGGGCAACTTATACTCAGCACCATGGAAAATCGCCAGGACTTACTACAAGAGGCACGTTTCATCCCGCCCTCCCCAGGGGTAGGGCTTGGGTCTTTTCTTGGAGAAAACTTACATCTCAGTTGTTTCACCACAGACTTTGTAAACTCCAACCAGTGCTGAAACAGGGAAGACAGAACAAGAAAACCCTAATGAGAAATAGGGTCACATATAGCTTGTTTAATCTAATACAAATAACCAGACAGATTGTTTAGCCCAGGGTGAAAGCAGCCCAAATGCTTGTGATACGTAGGCTTGAAAGTAAAGAGTGATAGGGTTTTCTGAAAAGTTTCCCGGGAAACCAGCTGTGAAGGGGAGAAGAGTTCCAGCTTCCAAGGCCTTTTCTGGGCTTCCTCGGCAATGCCACCTTCCACAGTACAGTGCCAAAGACCACAGGAGGGTGCCAAAGTTCTGAGCCATGTTTCTGGCATACCAGCAGGCACAAGTGAATCCACGTATGGGTAATGGGTCAAGACCCCACCTGGCGTGAGCAGGGAAGTACTGACTTTAATGGGGGTGGGGGGGGGTGTGTGTGTGTGTGTGTGTGTGTGCGTGTGTGCGCGCGGGCTACATGCCAACATTTTTTTTTGGCAGGGGGACCAAGGCTACTGGTAGCAGCTCTAGAAAGAAATGACAGAATTTCATAAGTGGTGAGAAAGTAGGGATGGCTGGTGTAGATTCCATTTTTGTTTGAGTAACATGGATTGCCAAACTCTGTGTTAAAGATACGTGCTCAGGATTCCTTGGCATCCTGATGGTTAAAGCATGTCTCATAAGATAACTAACCACAAACGATGTGTAGGATAGTATCCTGTGCCCCGTGAAATTTCATGGAGGCAGGACACAGCAGTAATACATTTTTTTCCCATGCTACATATGTTTAGGGAAGGAAGCAATGAGGTCATTCTATATTTCCCAGTTCTACATGGGTACTTTATAAAAAGCATTGATATTTGCAGCTTTTATGCTAATAAGGAACCTCAACAATTTGCAGAGAGCTAGAACTACTGTTATTTGAGTTTGGTTTTCTGGAAGTAGCTTAAAACCATTAGTCATAAATTCTGCAAGGGCAGAAAATGGTCTTGTATACTGTATTGCCCAGGCCCAGCACAGTGTTCAATATGCAGCTGTTGAAGGGACAAAGGAGCCAGGGCCACGCCTCCCTCTTTTCTGGCTACTTCCTGGTAGTATAACATCTTGGCAGAGTTCTCCCTTTGCAGGAAAGCAGGCAGGGCCATGCGACGGCATCCTGGCCTCCCTTGATTCCCAGCTCTCACCTTCAGGATGGGCTGTGGGGCATGAAGTTAATAGACCCACTAAGAGCCAGTCTTCCTGTCAGCTCCAGGTGGATAATCTGGGTGCACATTCTGCTCCCTCGTTTTCTCTGATCTGAGTTCCCACGATGCTGGCAACTCATTAGAGCCACTCAATGCAGCTAAGAGGTCCTTCTCACATTACACGGCCTACCGGCCTACCGTGGCTCAGCTTCACAGGGAAGCAAAGGCAGAAGAGGAAATCGCATGGAAACAACTGGGTTTCCAGGCTATTGCCTGCGGAGGTGGAGGAGGCCCATCTGTTCCGAGCACACTGGAACTTTACACCGGGAGGACACAGCAAGTGTCTGGGACTCAGTAAACAGTCACCCCTAGACATTCCACTGATAGGTTAAAGAAAATAAACAAAGAAAGTTAGACACTAAGAGGAATGACTTGGGAGGTCCATTATCAGCAGAAGGCAGATGCAGCTGAAGGACAAAAAGGTTCTTCCCCTTAGCAAGAGCTAGAGAGAGAGCTGAGGAAAGGAGTGAGGCTGGAGGAGGAGGGAGCGGGGTGGGCAGGAAGTAGAAAGCGGTCACAGCTTGTCTAAGAGATCTTAAGGGTCTGGGAGAGAATCTTGAAAGGATCCCAAGAATATGGTGATGGTCAGAGCTAACTGTTGGCACCTGACTGCCTAAATCTGGGCCCCAGAATCACTTAGCAAACTGATAACATGGGTTTGAGGAGGAGGGATCAGGAGAAGAGGAAAAGACTCAGAGAAGGGAGCTGGCTTCTGTCTTTGAGTGAATGGGCTTTGAGTGTGGCAGAATATTCAGACTCCAAAGGCTGGAAAGGAGAGGCTGAGAGGAGGCTGAGGCCCTGGGCCTGAGCCAGGAACAGGGGAGTGGGTGACAGGGAGCCAGCTTCTCCAGGCGGGATCAGGAGAATGCTCAGAGCCCATGGAGACCCCAGCAGAGCAAGCAGTGATGAGGTGGATGTGAGTGCTGGCTCAGCATGCCTGGTGCCCCAGGGAGGAGGTTTACTTTAAAGCCTCACACTCTAGGGGAGCTGGTATCTTACCTCCTCCATCTCTACCATGAATCAGGAGATCTAGGATGACAATTTTTACGGACCCATTTCCCCACAACTCTCAACTCTCTCAAGCCTACCGTGCTCCTTAACTTCTCCACAAAGGCAAGAATCACACAAATGTAGAGGCTTTCAGGTATGAATTCAACATGGAATCTTAGAAAACACATAGGCCCTGACTAGTATGGCTCAGTGGGTTGGGCATTGTCCTGTGAACCAAAAGGTCATTGGTTTGATTCCTGATCAGGGCACATGCCTGGGTTGTGGGCCAGGTCCCTGGTGAGGACCATGTGAGAGGCAACTGATCGATGTTTCTCTCATGCATCAGTGTTTCTCTCCCTCCCTTCCTCTGTCTCTAAAAATAAATAAATAAAATTAAAAAATATTATACAGAAATCACACAGGCTCTGGGTCAGACAGGTCTGCGGTGGAGACAGGCTTTGGCACCTGTCTTAGCAAGTTACTTAACCTGAAACTTTATATACAATCCAGATAATCGGTAATATAATTGTGGATAGTCCTCTCATTTGTGGTAAGGACTACATAACATATGCGAAGCTCACAGCTTAGTGCCTGATACAACTCAGCGCTCAATGTCCATTAGCTGAAAGATTTGGGTTTGTGCTTGGGGCAGAGCCCGGCGTGCAGTAGCTGCCTGGGAAAACTTATTTCTCCTTTTTCCCATTTCCTTATCTTTCTCTGTGTCCTTCTGCATAGAGCTGCCCGTACTGCGTAGAGCAGAACAAGAATTGCAGGACATACAGGAACCTGAAAGGCCTGAGTCAGTTGGGCTCCCTTTCTCCTCTGAGACTGTGTAGGTGTGGCCCCTCAGGGGAGGCACTTCCTAATCCTTATCACCTCCAAATACTCTCTTTTTCTCTTCAAGCCCATTCTGACCTAACTTAAAAATAATGAATAGGACACATTTGCCCTTTTTTCTTCAGACACCATGCTCTTTGGTAGATAAAGTGAACTCTCCTTATTAAGGAGAGTTTCCTCAGACCAAAATAATAAACAAATAAACGCCAAAAAACCCCTTTATAAAAACAGTCCATCATCATGTAGTGAGTGGATACCTACAGCACAAGAGGACATGTAGCTGACTGGCGCATTGCACTGTGTGGAGTCTTACACTACGGTCCAGAGCTAAGGACAGTAATTACGTCAAGACGGTGGAGACTTTACAGGGTGAGGGGCTGACCTTGACACTAGTTTCTAAATACCAATGATGTTCAAGGTCCTGCTGAGGAGCAATGAAATGTCAGCAACGTGGGACAGGGCTTGTCAGAGTAAAGGGATACAGTTCGATTCCTTCCTAAAACTCATGCATTTAGCATAAAACCATAAATGAAACCTGAAGACACAATGGCTCTGAGCAGGGATTTTCAACTGGCCTGCTGCCAGAATTTTTAAAATATGCAACACCTGACTATTTAGTCGGGGTACTGACCTCTTTTCCCTTAGATTGTCAAATAAAAAAATGACAACAGCCAGCACAACAACAGCCATCTGGTGTGAATGAATCAAAATCATACCTTTTCTTTTTTTGTCAGATCAGCAAAAAAAATGTAATGTATTTTTTGGTGTGCAGCAGAATTTTAGTAATTAGTTTGTGTGCCATGAGATGAAAAATGTCAAAAATCGCTGGCTCAGAGCATCAAAGAACATGGTGGGGGTACCCGTTCATTCATCATCTGCGGCCCTGGCCACTGCAGGGAGGCTGCACCCTCCGAGGCTCCCTCCAAGGTCTGCCATGTTTGGAGCTATGAAGAAAATTAGTGGGCCCATGAAAGGGGGCCCTCTGGGATTCACGGTTAACTGTGTTTTGGGAGGATGGTAGACATGACCGGGTGCTGGGCAGGGGTGTGGGGCAAGGAGATGTCGAGGGCTGAATGCTTCTGCACACTGGCCAGCTTCAAGGGAGATGCCAGAGAGCATAACCCCACAGAGAGCAAAGGCTGACAGACAGAGTGGTAGAAAATGCAGGGGTCTGTGAGTGGGCCACCTGGGCAAGTAGAGGGCGGAAATATGGCATTACTAACCATCAAATTGCCCACTCATCACTCCTTCGGCAAATGTTTACTAAATATCCACTACATTCTAGGCCCCGTGCTAGTTCCATGGGGTATAAGAATGAATAAGATAATGTTTATGCCTTCATGAGACTTATATTTTTGCAGGGGACACAGACAACCACAGATGGTGTCATAAGTGCTACAACAGGCGTAATGCAGGGCTCATGAGGTACAAAGGCTGGCCCGTCACTCAGAGTGGAGGTTAGGGAAGACTTCTGGGAAAAATAAAAGTCTAAGCTAAGACCTTATTGTGTGAGAAGGGAGTTAGCCAGAAGAAAAGTGTAGAGAAGTGAGGAAGGGGGGAAGGAATATTCTAGGCAGGGGGAACTATAGAGATGAAGGCTCTGAAAAGAGAGAAGGATGATATGTCTGGAAGCCACAGAAAAGTCTGGCTGGGCCACAGCAGGGAGGAGACCGGCCAGGGGAGGTGAAGCAGGAGAGGTGAGCAGAGGCCTGGTGATAATGGACTTGTCTCTCTCTCTGTCAGGGACATCACAGTCCTGTCAATGCCCTGTGTCTGTAGAGCTGCCCATACTGCGTAGAGCAGAACAAGAATTGCAGGACGTACAGGAACCTGAAAGGCCTGCGTCAGTTTGGCTCCCTTTCTCCTCAGAGACTGAGTGGGTGTGGCCCCTCAGGGGAGGCGCTTCCTCACAGGAACAATGTGGTTCAGCCCGTTTACTAAAAAGGGGGTGGGAGAGGTTCCGCCTGTGACCTGGGCTCTGAGGCCGCAACACTAGCCCAGCTGTCCTCCCTCTGACTGGGAAACTTTGGTCAAATTATTTGAGCTCTCCAGGCTGCCCCTTCAGCATCTGCAAAAGGAATGAGCACACAGGGTGAGCTCTGCTAACGTGTCTTCCAGGTCTCATAATATGATTTGAAGAGGTGACACCCAACTGCAGGATCTGGCTGGTCCTGGACTCTTGAGGCTACACTCTGAACATAAGTGGCAGTTCAAAGCTCCATGCTTACTGATTAACACTCTCCTCCATTTATTTGTGTATTGAATATTGACTTACCCGCTGCTTATCCGGGTCCACAAAGCGGATCCCAAAATAGTCTTTCTCAAGTAGGTTCAGGTGGTGGCAAAGAAGGTCAAACAGGTACTGGCCTTTGGCATCTCTCTGCAAAGAAAGCAAACTCCATTGAGAAATGAGAGGGCTTCTTCAGTGGAACTTTGTGTTTATAGTTATTAAAAATCATTTTAACAGCTGCACGAGGATAGGAAAGGGGCACCTGTCCATAACTATGTCCTCTGTGTTGTGATAATTAGATATTCTCTGGAATCCTGAGGCTTTAGCACCTAAAAGGAGCCCAAGAACGCTTCCTTCCACAAAAATGTCAGGCAAGTCAGAGTTAGGGGAGCCCAGCTCTGATCTCTGATGCACAAGGCTTTCCTAGGAAATGTCAGCGTGGAATACATCAATGCAGCTGGCTCTGCCTCTGAAGCACATCGTAAATCCATTCACTTCTCTCTGTCCCCATTACCACGCCGTAGGTCGGCCGCCACCATCCCTCAACTGGACCTCGGCCAGAGCCTTCCAACCGGTTCTCTGCTTCTGCTCTCACCCTTTCTCCTCACTGTGACCACAATATACTCTTTTTTGCTGAATAAGTAACATAGGCAACTAATAAGATATTCAAACATATGAAAGGATATACTATGAAAAGTCTCCCTTCCACCCTAGTCACTTTGTGCCTCAGTTCCTTTCCCCAGAAGCAACCCCTTACTGGGTTCGTATGTATCCTTAATGTGGTCTTACATTATAGGCAAGCCTATATACATGTACATCTCCTCTTTCGAAAATACACTGGCAGCATCTTTTGTACTGCATTTTTGGTTTTTTTTTTCCCCACTAAGGGTTTCTTGCAAATCCTTCTGTAGCAGTATATATGGATAAGCCTCAGTTTTTAACTGCTGCATACTACTGCAATGAACCTAAATTTATTTACCCAGCTCCATATCGACGGAATTTATTTTTAATCTTCCATTACAAACAATGCGGCGGCGAGCACACAGTCCTTTTGAATTACATCGCCACTCCTGCTTAACACGATCTGTGACTTTCTGTTGCTCTCAGAATAAAATCCAAACTCTGATCAGGGGCCTCCAAGGCCCTACATGACCTTGCCGCTGCCTCTTCTCCGCGGTCCTCCTGAATCTGTCTCCTCACTACTCCCTGGCCATGGCCTCTCTGTTTGGGAACGCGCCATGGCTTTTCTGCCTCTGCATGTCTGTCTTCCCTCTGCCTGGCCCCTCTTCTTCCAGCTCTTCTGAAGGCCACTCCTGTCCTTGCGGTCTCAGCTCGAATGTCCTCTCTGCAGAGGGGTCCTCCCCCTACAGAAATGCCCTGTCCAGTTACTTTCTATCTCATTGTCCTGTTTATTTCCTTCACAGCACTGACAGTAATAGGTAACTATCTTGTTGATTTGTTTACTTATTTATGTGTTGCCCCCTCCCTTCCTAGGCTTTCATTTTCCTGAAGGCAGGAGCCCTCCCCCAGAACTTAGCTCAGGGCCTGGCAGACAGGTCCTCAATAATTACCTGTTCAATAAATGAATGAATGAATGAACAGAAGGTAGAGGGTTAGCTAAAAAGTTTCACAAAATGTGGGGAAATTATGCCATTTCTAAACCCATAACCTTCTTCTTCAGGGACCTGCCTGGATATCTGGGATAAGCTGGGAAGAGAATGACTTGCAGGAAACTGTTAGAACATCCAGAGCTCTGCAAGGCTTCGCTCTGTGGGCCTGCCCCTAGTGGTCTCTGCGGCTGAGGTATTCATCTGTGGTGGCTCTGTGTCTAATTCTGCATTCAAATTGAGGTTGTCTTAGCCAAGGAATCTCACCTGTGCCAAGACCAAGACCATGGGTAATTACAGAAGGGCCTGGCCCTGCTCCACGGAAGGTTTACACCGCACCTCTGCCCTTTCTGCTGGCTCACCCCACCTTATCCAAGGAGAACTAGGGCAGGATATGGAATCTCTCAGCAATCTCTCTTTTTAAAAAAGATTCTATTTATTTATTTTTAGAGAGAGGGGAAAGGAGGGAGAAAGAGAGGAAACATCAATATGTGGTTGCCTCTTGTTCATCCCCTACTGGGGACCTGGCCCGCAACTCAGGCATGTACCCTAGCCTGGGAATCAAACCTGCAACCCTTTTGTGCTCAGGCTGGCACTCAATCCACTGAGCCACACCAGCCAGGGCTCAACAAATATCTTAAGAAGCTTATAGATGAAGGATTAGGAGAATGAGTGGGTGGACAGCTCAACTAAGGAAGGTGGTGACATGCAGGCACCCTCCTTTCCGGTGGCCCCACCCTCCCTCTCACAAAATAACCCTGAGGCTGTGAGTCTCCCCACCACTCCACCCTCACCCCTCTGGTCTCCCACCAGAAAGAGGTACTTTCAGGACAGAGACTTGCTAGGAGTCACAATGGGACTTCTGGGTGGTGGACCGCAATGGTGGTCTTTCAAAGGATTCCATCAACAACGGTTGTTTTGGGAAGGGGCTGCCAACTATTTCCTTACTGATGCCCTCGAATGTAGGAAGAGCTTTAACTCATTTTTAAGGTTCTTCTGGGAGCAAGAGAACTATGTTTAACTCTCCCCCAAGAGGCATGTCCTGTGTGATTATCCTTCTCAGAACTGAAATGCAATATTAAGAGACAACTGCATGTTGTGAGTATTTTTCTCTATAGATTTTACTTTGCGCCAAGCTGGCTGCTACACTGTGACGAGCTGGGGTGAGTTAAGTTTGCTTTCATACATACAACCATAGTAGCAGAAGTGTGGGGTAGGCACGGGAAAAACATGCTTCTGTGATAGAAATCACCTGGGCTTTTTGTAAGACTCACGTCTTCCATTAAAACAACTCATTCTCATGGGCTGGCAGCTCAAATACACTTGTAGGGTTCCTAGCTGGTAAGAACCTTAAATTCAGCAGGTCCAGCCTGACCTCTCTCACCTCGCAGGAAGAAAAGGAAGCATGGCTTTCCTCTTTAGGTAGTTATTAAAAAAAAAAAAAAGACATATCCCATTACATATTCCCTATATCATTAAAAAAGGATTTTTTTTTCTTGTTATTTCTCAGCATCTGGTGAAAATGCTGTTTCCCACCATGAAGTTACAGTTTCCTCGGGTTCCCATTTACCAGTGGTAGACGCATCATTCTGAGCTAAAAGGCTCTTGTGTAGACTAATGAGGAGAAGCACCTTCCTTTGTTCGGTCTCCAAGACTGGAGGGTGCGGGGTGAGGGGAGTGGTGAGAGAAGCAGGAGCAGAGCTCCTCCTTATGGCGAAATTCCATGAAGTTTAAATCCCCAGCAGAAACACAAAGGCAGCATCAACTCACAGCACTGCTACGGTGCCTTACACAGAGGTCACGACCTGCCCCTCTATTGAAGTGCACATCTGTGGCTGGTGCTGTGGCCCAAGGCAGCCCTCAGGGGGAAGTCACATTCACCTCAACTGCCATGGTGGGCTCCCTATGACAAAGTGCTGGAAGGGGCAAGAGTTTAGGAATTCTAAACTTCCTAGGCTTGTGGGTCTCCTTGCACTTCCAGATGCCAGCAGTATCCTAGAACTTCCTGTCTGTGGTTTTCCTGTCCTAAGTTTGGGTCTTTCTGGAATATTCTGTGGCAGCCAAGCTCTTTTGGTTGGATGGCAAAGTCCAGTGAGTTCTATCTTCTTTTCCCTTTGCCTGCAGTTGCCCTTGCATTATGGCTAAGCCATGTGTTGTGTGCTGAATGCTGTGCCATTGATTATTCTGGAGAAAAAGGCACTTGTGTTGACAGGTGATAATTGTTTAGTCACAACATCAGGGCTCCAGGTCTGAGGATGTTTGTCTTAAGAATGAGCGAGCTGAGGCAGGGCATCCTAATCCAGATAAACCTCTGACGTTATTCTCTTCCCAAAGTCACTGTTGGGTCAAAATAACTTATTAAGCACCCATTAAAAAATAAACAACATGTGGGTACTATTGTGGTTCATAAAATACAAATTTATCAACTGTGAAAATAATAGTGCACATAAGTCAACCCACTGCCTCTCTCTATATGGTGCACAGATGACTCATGAGCCCCTGAGAATCATTCTGTAACTGAGGTTGGGAGAATTCATATTCTTGCTCCTCCCTGGGGCACCTGGTTCTGGTTCTCCGTGGTTTGTCTGTTCTTCAGGGAAGGGACTGAGGCAGCAAGCAGTAAGCAGCTTGGGCCAGTGACCTAAACTTGTTAGTCAAGGTTAATTGCATTTTCTGCCTTCTAATCCATACCCTTGGGCGGTTTTACTTGAACTCATCGTGGGGTCAATCCCAGGGACACCAGCAGTGTGCACCCTGGTCAGCGGGGCTAACATGTCGAAAACCCCCTACTCGCTGGGCCTCACCTTATTCAATCCTGCTTACCTGTGAGGCAGGCCGATTTTAAGAGCAAGCTACGTGAGTCTTGAGAGGGCGAGAGCAAGCCCAACTTTCTCAGCCCCTGCTGTTAAAAGGGGAGCTGGCCTTGGCGTCTTGGGCCCGTCGAGAAGGCACAGGTGAGATGGAGGGCAGGAGACAGTGAACACCGGCTGCCCGAAAGCACAAGAGTCCAGAGGTGGAGAAAGACCTCGTCAGGATGGGGGTGCCTGGATGAGGGGGCAGGCGCTGAACAAGTTGTCCTCAGAGGCCTGACAGGGAAGACCAGGGACCCGGGGTGGGATGGCACTCGGCCTCTATTCTCGCTCACTTTCTATTTAAATTTCTGGTAGGCCAAGACTTCTTTGCTTTCCTTATCAGTGTCCTCCAAGGGCATGTGTATGCCGATGTCTGCCGGGTTCAGAAGCAGATGCTGTACAAAAGCACTTTAATGTCACAGAGGAACAGCCACATGAGCTCATCATCTCAGGGCCATGGCATGAGAAAGCTGAGCCGAAAGGTGAAATCCGTTATTGGGGTGCAGTCCTCTGCAGACCTCTGAGTTGGTGCCCCACTCCGAGCCCAGCTTCCCGAGGCAGAGGGAGGATAAGGGGCACCGATGCTAACGGCAGGGCCCCAGATTTCTTAACCTCAGCACCTGCCATCCTCATCTACATTTTCTTTGATGGGAGGGAACCCTTGCTGAGCTGCTGGCCCTGGAGCCCACTT